AAGGAAGGAAGGAAGGAAGGAAGGAAGGAAGGAAGAAAGAAAGATCGCCTCCCTAGGCCAGCCTGGATTTTATATATAATATATGTTTATATAATATAAATATAATGTGATTATATTATAAATATATGCTAATATAATGTATACTAATATACACACTAATATATATATACACACACATACTAAGAAACCCATGCACACACCTTCTCAAACAAAAATCAAAGAATGCTAGCATACAACTTTGATCCCATTTTTGATCCCATCTGTGAGACAGATCATAAGTGAAGAGTCACAGTTTGAAGCCAGCTCTGAGGGCAGGCAATGCAAGAATCTACCTGAAACACAATTAAAGCAACAAAAGGATCTGGGATATGGCTCAGATGGTAAAGCATTTGTGTAGCTAACAAAGGCCCTGAGTTCAAATTCCAGTGCTGAGGAAACGGAGGAGGAGGAGGAGCAGGAGCAGGAGAGAAGGAGGAAGAAACACACAAGGAGGAAGGAAGGAAGAAAAGGAAGGAGGGAGGGAGGGAGGGAGGGAAGGAAGGAAGGGAAGGAGGGAGGGAGGGAGGGAGGGAGGGAGGAATAATTTAGAAACTAAGTCTGGAGGAGATAGTGAAATTCTATGAGACCATGAAAAGCAATGACACACACTAAAAAAAAATACTAACAGGGAAAGATGTTTAAAAAAAACTGTTAAAAAGAAAATATGTGGGATGCGTAACATCTGCACACACCTAATATCAAATTTTAAATTATGTAAAGCAAAAAGTTAAGAGGAGTACTGTAAGAAATCAACACATGCTAAAAAGCAATTTAAAACAGTATGGTCTATGCATCTCCAGTGCTTATCCTCACTAGTAACCACAGAAATGTAAATTAAAAATACATTTGCACACCCTTACGCACCACCAGAGTATCAAGTGTTTTTTAAGTCTGGCAAAGTGAGCATGAGTGAGGGACATCCACTCTGTAAATCTCTTTGGCCTTGACTTTCGAAGTTGGAGCACAAAATGCATGGTACGCATAAACCAACATGTTGTACAGCTCCTTTCTACAACTACAATACTAATTTTTGAAAAAGAGTTGGAGAGCCCATTCCTAGTCATAATACTTACCAACCGTTAGGAGGCATTCCACTTCTTACAAACAGCCGTACAAGTGTGACTCCAGGAGACTTCAGTCCACCTCAGGGGTTGCAGATAAGGGGTACTTGGCTTTGGTCCCAAAGGTTCCAGAAAATCCTGTGTTCCAGAGGATAAGCAGAGACTCCCAAGGAATACTGAGAGGAGCTTTTCGGCAATGACTCCACACCATTCTCCGGGACTTTGAGTTTTTGTGACTGGGTTTTTTCTAGTATGCTAATTATCTTAACAGTGGACTTATGAGTATTAGTTCTAAAGAGTGCCTAAGGAAACTCAAACCTGTGTGCATCAGGAAACATGAACAGAACTCTCACACAACCACTGACTCATCTTCAGCAAATAAAGAATAAAATAGTCAATTCATACAGTAGAATATTCAAGAATCATGAAAATGAAATGCAACAAAGGCAGCATCTCACTAACAGGTCAGAGGGAAGCACGGGAAAGAATACACACATTCATTTTCAATAGATTAAACTATTGTATAGGGAAATAGAAATATACAGTAAGACTATACCATCTTCAGGTAAATGACTCTCAAAGACAGAGAAAAGAAGTTCTAGAGCAGTGGGGATGCCCGTAATAATTATTTGTATAACTCAGCCCAATATGTTTCATGCACTTTTCTTTATTACCTTAAGTTTTGTGATGAAAAAAATTCTTGGAGTTCTCCAGAGCAATAAGTTTACAGCTGAAACATGATAACACAAATCACGTGGGGAATGCTGAGCTAAGCTGTGAAGCAATAGAAAGGCAAGTGATTGGAGGAGGAAACAGCAGGACTAGTATTTATTCAGACTTTTCAGTGCAGGACACAGAGTATTCTGGGTAGAGGTGGACAGCTTCTCACGCCAGAAAGAAATTTCCAAGGCAAGCTTCCCTAAGGGAAAGAGAAATGAGCACCAAGGGAAAAGTAAGTACATAACCTGTATCTGTTCAGTTTGTGCATTTGAGGGATTACCCTCAGATCAGAGCAATTTACTGCTGATTAAAAGGAAATGAGTAGTCCCTATGCTAAGAATTTATTCTAAGGAATTAAGTATAGATTTGCCAAAGTGTTTACTAGAAGGATATTTTAACTTAAATATTATTTAAACAGCAAAATGTTATTTAAGCAACTATGCTATCACCATAAAATAGAATATGTACCTATAGTGTATAAATATAGATTAAAAATATTATCTGCAATATGATCCTATTCAGGGAGACACACAGAATAAAATGAAAAGATAAAATGAATTTAAAGTATCCATTTATACTTTTATTTTCCATCTATATTTTATTTTTATTTTGAAACTTTCTGTAATTAATGTGAATGTCATTTGTAATGAAAGTAATGATATTTAAAAATAGTGCAGAATTACATCTGAATGGTTGAAAAATAGATACTCAGTGGTTAAAAGATGAGATACTTGAAATTCAAAATAAAAATTGAGAGCAGAAAAGTTTTAATCTAGGAATCAGCAAACCCTCAGTATTTAATTTCTTTCATTGCCCTTTTTATAATTCTTACAATGAGATCATATTTTTTCTGTACTTATTCATTTATACTGTACTGATTAATTTGGTAATTATTTAAGCTTCACTTCTTAGACTTTTGATGAACTACCTAGAGTTTATGTTCAAAATGAGACTTCATTTGATTTTAGGCAAGACTTTCTTCTCTAAGAATTCTCAGGTTATGAGAACACCTGATCTGAAGACTAAACTCAAGTAGCATACCTGTAAAACACATCTGTGCTCTGACAAATATAACTGATCATTCACATTGGAATGAGATTGGTTAAGCCAACACATCATTTTTGGTCACTTACCAAAATCTTTAAGTCCTATAAATACATACTCTTTCTTAATGAAGGGGGGAAAAATCAAGTCATTATATCAGAATAAACTTTTAATATAACCATTTGTTAAAAATAATAATTTAATGTAATGACCATAACATCAAATTTGATTTAGATGCAACTGAAGATCCCTTGTCTTCAAAACAATATAATTATATACAACAATCTGCCAAAAACTTCTAAACTGTTCATCAACAAATTACAATAGACGCTTTCCCCTCATGATACTGTATTCCTTTGCCTCTCTCTTCCTCTCTGTGTCTCTCCTTTTCCCCCCACTTCCATTTCTTCTCTCTCTCACTCCTTCATTCCCCTCTCTTTCAGGTTATTAAATGCAAAGCAGCTGTTGTCTGGGAAGCAGGCAAGCCCTTCTCTATTGAAGAAGTTGAAGTAGCTCCCCCCAAGGCTCATGAAGTTCGAATTCAGGTGAGTGAGGACTTTCCCTGGTGGATATACCTATACCCAAAGTGCAGGCTTGATTTCTAACAGTTTATTCTGACCTGGTATGAGTGAGAGGCCTTGGAGTCTCCACCTGTAGTTATAGTATATAACTTGAGTTATATTTATAGGTCCAGATTAAAGTAGGCATTATCTCATTTTTTACAATGGGCTTAAAATCTGACAATCAGCAAAGGAATTGACTTAGAACTGGGCTTTTGTTATTCTCCATTTACCAACGATTAAAAAGTGTTATTAAAGGAAAGTAGAAGCTGGACACCTGTGCCTCACATCTAAAACCCTACTCAAAAGCTAAGATCTGAGAATGGTGGTTTGAAGCCAGCCCAGGCAGAAATATCCTCAAGACTCTTATCTTCAATTAACCACCAAATAAGCTGGACTGGAAGCTTGGCTCAAGTGGTAGATTACCAGCCATGCATAAAAAATGTGAGGAACAGAATAGGCTCTCAGTTCAAGCCCCAGTACCAACACACACACACACACACAGAGGAAAAGAAAAGGCAGAGCTGTGGACACAGGTAAGTTCTTCATTGTTGCTCAAGCAATTATAGGTTTGTATGTGAGAATGAATGGAATAACCTTTTTGTCAGATACTAAAGAACAATTACACAAAGATACTCTGGATGATTTATTGGCAATGTTTCCCACTTAACTATAAAAATGGTATTTCCTCAACATTATTTCATGTAGTTTCAACAGAATTTGAACAAGCCATGGAACCTTTCTTCTCTCTCTACCTAATAGGCTTTATTCTGCTCTGACTACTTGCATTTTTCCTCTGCTGAAGACAATAACAACCAATCCTACATCTTAGGTTTTTTCAACAATGACAGTTAGAAAACTTGCCCAGGGGCTGGGAAGGTGGCTCAGTGGTAGAGTGCTTGCCTTGCATTCATGAGGCCCTGGGTTCAATTCTTCAGCACCACATAAGAAAAAAGAAAAAAGCTGGAAGTGGCGCTGTGGCTCAAGTGGTAGAGTGCTAGCCTTGAGCTGAAAAGCTGAGGGACAGTGCCCAGGCCCACAGTTCAGGCCCCACGACCGGACAAAAAAAAAACAAAAAAAAAAACACAAAAAAACTTGCCCAGTCTATTTTCTTTTTTTTTGGTCCGGTCGTGGGGCCTGAACTGTGGGCCTGGGCACTGTCCCTCAGCTTTTCAGCTCAAGGCTAGCACTCTACCACCTGAGCCACAGCACCACTTCCAGTTTTCTGGTGGTTTATTGGAGATAGGAGTCTCACGGTCTCTCCTGCCCGGGCTGGCTTTGAACCGTGATCCTCAGATCTCAGCCTCCTGAGTAGCTAGGATTACAGGCGTGAGCCACCAGCGCCCGGCTTTGCCCAGTCTATTTTCATTTGTTCTTTTGGTTTTTTACAAAATGTAATTCCTAAGTTCTAGGGGTGCTGTAATGTTTCAAGGTGACATGAGACCTAAAATTATTGTAACATCTATCTCAACAGTGACTAAAGCAATATGACTCGTCTGTAATTACTTTGTAGGTAATGGCCACTTCCGTCTGCCACACTGATGCCCTTAATATTGACCCTAATTTCAAGAATGGTGTGTTCCCAGTGATTGTTGGACATGAGTGTGCAGGAATTGTGGAAAGCATTGGGCCTGGAGTGACCAACTTCAAGCCAGGTAATTTTACCTTCTGATTCAAACTCAATAGAAATACCAGGCTTTTTCAGTGATGATTTCTGGTAGTGTCTTGGCTTTGCATGCTGTAAGTGATCTCTGTTAACATAAGAGGACCGACCATCTTTTCCCAAATCAAAAGTGAGACATAGAACCTATAGCTAACATGGAGATGGGATATTTGAATTTGGAAGTGTCTAATAAGATCTAGGAAATATGGCCACTTTATTTATATAATGTGCTCAGAAATTGTCTTAAAAGCTGGGCACCAGTGGCTCACCCCTGTAATCCTAGCTACTCAGGAGGCAAAGAGCTGAAGATCATGGTTCAAAGGCAGCCTGGCAGGAAAGACCATGAGACTATTATGTCCAATAAACCAGTCAAAAAATCGGAAGTGGTGCAGTGGCTCAAGTGGGACAGTGCTAGTCTTAAGCTGAAGAGTGCAGGGACAGCATTCAGGCCCAGAGTTCAAGCCCCATGACCAACAAAAATAGAAAAGAAAAAAGAAAAGAAATTTGTCCTAAAACACAATATTTTATGATTAGTTAAAATTAAAGCAACCATGGTTCAGAAATGTTATACTTTATGTAAAATAGAAAGTATGTCAACTATTTTAACATTATATAAAGAATAAGAAGACAGTTTAAGGTTTAAAAACACTATACGTATCAATGTTAGCCTAATTTTCTTTTTGGAAGCTTGTAAGATACATATAATACCTAAATAAAGCATGTCAATGGCTGAGATTATTTTCTTCACCTCACACTGCCATGTGGCTTATGTACTGCTCTCTTGTCACACAGGATAAACCACGTGACTCTCTTCTTTGATGAGATTGCTCCAGACTTAGATACATGGCAATGGTATCAAATTTCCCATCTCTATCTAGCCTATGTATCGTCTATATTAAAAAAGGATCTGTTTTACTATTCATAGTGTTTGAAAATACAAATAATAATAGTTATGCTACAAAGAATTACAATGAAATCATAGGACTCTGAAGAGATAAGTCCAACAGATTTGTCACTTGACTGCCCAGTGCAGTAATTAAAAGAAAAACTGATACCACACCTACATAGAAAACCGTAAGAGAATCACAGTCTACGGCTGATCCCTGGGCAAAAATGTGAGACTCTATCTGAAAAAAATAACTAAAGCAAAATAAGGGCTGGGCGCATGGCTCGAGTGGTAGAACACCTGCTTAGCAAGCACAAGGCCTTTGGTTCAAATGCTAATACTACCAAAATAAACAAAAAGACAACATATGCAATACGTAGAAGAATCCATTCTCTTACATTTTAATGATAAAACATTTTAGCTAACTGTACTTTCTAGTGAATATGTAAAAATGATAGGAGTGACTCTGATCATAAGTTGAATATCCTTTGTATAGCTACTGAAAAATAGTTTAAAAAGGAAAAAAATGAAAAAATTTAAATGGTGTTCCCTTGTAGAAAGATTTTTGGAGGGGGAAGGAGTTAGGGATAGAGTTCAAGGCCTTGTACATGTACAAAACACTCTACTACTGCGCCCCATCTCCAGCCTTGCTGTTAGAAACTTATAATACCTTAGGATGCCTAGAGGTATGGATCAGTGGTAGAGTGTTGGACTAGAAAACAACAGGCCCTGAGTTCAAACCCCAATACTGCCAAAAAAGACAGAATCATACCACATATGACCTTTCTTTCTAGGTGACAAGGTTATTCCATTCTATACACCTCAATGTAAAAAATGCAAGTTCTGTCTGAATCCACACACAAATTTTTGTGGAAAATTGCGGTAAGTTTCTATATGCTATTATTAGGATGTTTAGCAATGGGTTGGCGACACCTAAATGGAGTTCAGAAGATGCAAACCTTCTGTTCACTAATTGTTACTTCTAATGTAGCCCAGACAGTGCTCCAAATATGCAGTCACATGCTGCAATAATCATTGCAAAATTGTTCACAATATCAAAAGGAACGTCCTCCAGTAATAGAGAGGACTAACAAATTGCTATACAGTGTCACATTGGAAAAGTACAGTGAAATGGTCTAAGTTTGAAGTATGTATATAGAACGATTTGACACACATAATGTCTTTTCACACAAATAATGATATTAGGGGAAAAACAAGTAGCTGAATGATATATAGTATATGATATTATACACAAAACAATAGGCTAGAAGTGCATACTATAAAATAGATAACATTGAGGTGATAAATGGCAAATTCAAAATAGTATCTACTCTGCAGGAATGAGAGTAGAGTCATTTGCTTCCCCGCTTCATAGCTCAATGTCTCCTGACAGATTTTCACATAGGCAGCATGGCTTGAGTCTAAATCTTAACCACCTTATTTTTATTTCACTGAAACTATAGGAGGGCCTATTTGTTTTTAATGCTAACTGAAGCTAGTTATCTCAGAAATTAAAATACTACTTACTCATAGGCCCTGAAGCTTGGTAGGCTATAAGCCAGCTCCAGCAAAGTAAAGAGACCTTATGTCAAAAGCAAAACACAAAGGAAAGGGCTGAGGATATAGTTCAAGTTGTAAACTGCTTGCCTAGTATGTAAAAGACCCTGAGTTCAATCCCTACTACCAAATAAAACCACAACAAATACTATACCGTGCTTGTATCTACTTCTGTGCTTCGGGCTCCTCATTTATAACATGGGGATAGTAATGTCTGATTTGCAGGCTTGTTGTTGATGCTCAAAAAAACCAAAACTACATTATTTTGCAAACTTTAATGAAATAAAAGATTTATCAATAGAGATGATCAGAATCTATGTCTACTTTTAACATGCTCATCCCCCCCCAAAAAATAGCATCAGATTAATTGTTTACATCATAAATGTTAATTTAGGAGGAAATATGGTAACAGAAAAATAAGTTAAGCCCAATTTCAGGTATAGCAACAGCAAAATTCCCTAAAAAGAACACTATGTAGGACAAATGGCTTGGTTTCTTTAAAATAAAAATAAAAAAAAACAGAAGAAGAAAGGATACAAATGAAAGGTTACCAAGATATTTATCAATCTCATGCACTATGTAGATATATACAGATGTAGATATATACAATATTGAGATATATACTGAAATATTTCAATGCAGATGAAATAGTGATGTCTGAAATCCATACAGAAATATTCCACATATTGTAGAAGATAATAGATGGAACCAGACAACCTATGAGTTGATTGTAACTGAAGCCATGAACAGATGTACAGGCTTTATTATAGTCTTCTGTTTTTATAATAACATTCTTCAATAAAAACTGTTATGAATTAATACACACATAGACCTTAAAAGGGTTTCTGGCACACACAAAGCCTTCAACAAATGTTTGTTGCTATGGTCTTTAAATTTTTTCCAAAAGACTATAAATTATCACCTTAGTTAGTTTCCCATTTCTTCCATGTGAATTCCATAAAATTGTTATTACAGATAATATAAGGCAAACACATTTTATTTAAAAAGTGATCAGTGTCCTATTTACTTTCTTCTTTGTATCTTTCACCCCTCTCTCTTTTTAATTGTCTAGTGATTTTAAAACTCCTACTGCTGATCAAAAACTAATGGAAGACAAAACCAGCAGGTTTACCTGCAAAGGAAAGCCAGTTTACCATTTCATGGGAGTCAGTTCATTCTCTCAGTACACTGTGGTGTCTGATGTCAACCTTGCCAAAATACATGATGATGCAAATTTAGAGCGTGTGTGTCTGCTTGGATGTGGGTTTTCAACTGGCTATGGTGCTGCAATCAACACTGCCAAGGTGAGTTGTTAAACTGTCCAGGATTTACAAACAGAGGGTTACTGGGAAGCAATGTAAAGAAACCATCATCAATTATCTTCAAACATTGGCTATTTTGTTTCTTGCTCTGGGATAAATAACTTAGCCCCTCTAGAAAAAATACCCATTTGTAATACTTGTGAGAATAATTATATTACCTATATAAAATAGCTGGCCTCATAGATGGCTAGGCTTAGTACCTGCTACATGTTATATGCTATACCAGCGTGCTAGATTATAAATAGTCCCGATGTAAATAAAGCCTGATCGAATATATTTCATAGTAGCTTATATCAGGACAACTGACCCAAAGGCAACAGGAACCATAGAAACCCTTACCATCAACTACTTCCTCCCTGATGCTGGGGATTCTCTTTCAATCAATAACAACTTATCTTAGTTTCCCATCCCTGTATCTTCTGCCACCCCTGATAGTAGTAAGATATGGCTCTGGAATCCCACGTTAGAAAGAAAATTACAAGGATAATAAAGCTAGATACAAGAGAGATGTTGAGAAAGTATCTTCTAAGTGGATGCCTCAAATGTTGCAGAGATTTCCTCGACCTCTCTCAGATTCTTCACTGTCAGACAAGACATCTGGACTCCATTCCATCTAAAGAAATCAGTTATTTGGAATCATAAGTGAGACAATTGCCTCAGATCTAATTTTTAAAGGGTGAAATATTACCTCCTTAAAATGTGTGGGCTTTTATTTTTTATCTGACCACACTGAAAAGTAAAACAAGTGAATTATTTTTATTTGAGTTTGTTCTTTATGAACTGACCGTCTTCATATCCCTTAAATAATTCTCTAACCTTAAAAAGTAATGTATCCATTTTCACATTGGCAGAATTTCTTCATTGGATGTATCATATAGTTTTATAACAAGCAGTCTCAGGCTTGTAATTTGGAGTCTTCACCTCACCCTACCCTTTAAGAGAAACTAAAAATGCTGGGTACTAGTGGGCACTAGGATTACTAGTGTAATCCTAGCTACTCAGAATCATTTTTCAAGGCCAGCCTGGGAAGGAAAGTCTGTGAAACTCTTATCTCCATTAAACCACAAAAAAAACAGAAGTGGCGCTGTATCTTAAGTGGTAGAGTGCTCACCTTGAGCTGAAAAGCTGAAGAACAGCATTCAGGCCCCAAAGTTCAAGCCCAAAACTGACAAAAAAAGAGAGAGAAGGGGGGAAGGAAGGAAGGGAAGGAGGGAGGGAGGGAGGGAGGGAGGGAGGGAACCAGCTGCTATAAAAGTAAATTATAAAAGTGTAATTTTCCTGCCCCCAGGTCACCCCTGGTTCTACCTGTGCTATCTTTGGCCTAGGAGGTGTAGGTCTTTCTGCTGTAATTGGCTGTAAAGTAGCAGGAGCTTCCAGAATCATTGTTACTGACATCAACAATGAGAAGTTTACTCTCGCCAAAGCCCTGGGGGCAACTGATTGTCTAAATCCTAGAGAGCTAGACAGACCCATCCAGGAAGTCATCATTGAAATGACCAATGGCGGGGTGGACTTTGCCATTGAGTGTATAGGAGGATATCAACACATGGTTTGTACATTTTTTTCCTTGTGTGTTTTCAATGTGTTCTTTAATCATCAAATGATAGATGAAGATGGGCTGCTTGTAGTTGGTATAATTATTCCTTCTTAATCTTTTCAAACAAAAGAAGAACTGTCAGCCATAATACATTTAACCATTCCCTCAGCCTTCCATGCCCACTGATATGTCCTGTATTCATCTTCTTTCTGTTACCAACAAGGAAGTATCTGAGACTGGGCACTTGTATAGAAAAGAGGTTTGTGTATGGTTATGTAGGCTAGAAGTCCAAACTGTACAAGGCTGTCTAAAGTCAGGATGGCCCTCAGGGCTGACAGCATCTGGGTGGGAATATGTATGAGGAAAAAGTCACATGGCAAGACAGGAAGCCAGACTGAGGATCTGGGCCAGTAACAATCACAAACTGGGCCATACCTCTTCATTTGAGATCCCTTTTAATTGCTCAATATAACGTATTATTAGACTGAAAATAATTTTCAATTGTGTTTTCCACTTTCCTATTTCTTTTTTATTTACTTTTTTCTGATTTTCATAAGGTGGTACAAGAGGTTAAGATTTCATGGGTCCAGTGAGGTGCCCAGTACTTCTGTTCAGAGTCACCCTTCCATCATTCTTCCCCATCCCATCTGCTCTCTCTCACCAGGCTCATTTCACATGGCCTACTTTCTTTATCACATAGGAACAGTTAATAACTTGGCTGTATTTGTCCCCTGTCCCTTCTCCTTTGGGAATTAAAAAAATCATTTTTGTTTTGTAGTCCAGGTTGGCCTCAAAGTCACTGTGTAACCAAACTGGCCTTGAATTCACAATGTTCCTGGCATAATCCTCTAGTACTAGAATCACAGGCTTGTGCAACCACACTGGTCTGGTTTATTCATTTGTATCTGGCCAAGAAAATGCCCCTTTTGACTATTAAATAAAATAAGGTAAAATGTCAACTATAACACATAGACCATGAACAGAAGTTAATTGCTATAATGCCCAGCATTATTCTTCACTAAATATTCACCTAATATGCATGTGCTCAAAGACACTAAACTGAGGGTGTTTTTTGTTTTGTTTGTTTGCTGGGAATAACTGAAGAGAACTAGAGGTGTGTGTGTGTGTGTGTGTGTGTGTGTGTGTGTGTGTGTGTTTGTGTGTCCGTGTCTGTGTCTGTGTGTGTCTGTGTGTCTGTGTAGGGCAAGTGCCTAGCAAGTGCAAGAACCTGAATACAAGACTCCAGTATCATACCCATATAGAAAAGAATGAATTTATGAACTGAATTATTTGCCCATGGATTCTTCTTGTTTCATTAGTGTGAGTTATAAAAAGCATTTGTGGCCAAGTGCCAGAGGCTCACCCATGTATAGCTAGCTACTCAGGAGGCTAAGATCTGAGGATCCCAGTTCAAAGGCAGCCCAGGAAAAAGTCTGTGTCTTATCTCTAATAAATTGCTCAAAAAAGGCCAGAAGTGGTACTGTGGCTCAAGTGATAGAATGCTATCCTTAAGCAAAAGAAGCTCAGGTACAGAGCCCAGGCCCAGATTTTAATCCCAAGGCTAGCAAAAAATAAAATAAAAATAAAAACTAGTTGTGATTTCATTCCTTTTCACTTACATCTTTACTCAGCCTGATTCCTAAACCTCTTCTAGAGAAGAGATAAAGAATAAATTCAACATCCCCAGAAGTGGACTTTGTAATGTGTCCAAGCCTGAATTTTATCTGACTGGTGCAAACCCTAGAAGAGAATGAAAACTTGTGATGGGAACAAAATGTTCCCTAAAATATTGTGTATTTCCACACTAAGTTCATGCTCTGCTCTTCTATGACTCTAGAAATCTTTTGTGTTTGACCCTTCAGCGAGCAGCTCTGGACTCCACATCAGTAGGTGGGGGAACCTGTACTTTGGTCGGAGTGAAGGCTGGCGACAAAGCACTGGACGTGTCTCCAGAGGAGCTAATAATGGGCCGTACTCTAAATGCAACACTCTTTGGAGGTTAGTATTGTTCTACCTTCATAGATTTTAATTTTCTTCATAGTAATATAAAATTGTAACACTGAGGATTATTGAATCATTTCCTTAATTAATAATTAACAATTAATTATTGAATCATCTCTTTACTGAGAAAGTAAAACATATCTAAAGACTGTATAAAAACTACTCATTATGTGAAAGTAAATGGAGTCTATATAGAAAGATAATCAAAGCTAGCAAACTGAAATTCAAATTGTGCTGAAATAAACCAACATAGAGTAGCAGAAAGTAGACACTGACCTAATTGAGGTAATTTCTTATCTAGAGTAGAAAATAATCTTTATGTGTGTGTTGTATGTGTGCACAAGCACAGGTGCACCTCAGTATTGGAACCTGATCTCAGGGCCTGAGTGCCATCTCTAAGCTTTGTTATTTAAGGCTAGTGCTCTATCATTTGAGCCATAGCTTTACTTCCAGCTTTTTTGGTGATTAATTAGAGATGAGTCCCACACAGTTTCCTGCCTAGCTCGCTTCAAACTGTGATCCTCAGATCTCAGCCTCCTGAATAGCTAGGATTACAGACATGAGCCATGGTACCTGGTTTGACTATTTCTTATGAAGACAAAAAATAATAGATATAGAAAACTAAAGCTATATAGAAAGTATAGAAAATTAAAGATGTATACAACATCAAAAATGGAGGGGAGGTGTTATATATATTTGAAACTTGGATTGCTTCAGACTGACCTAATATTAATTCACTTAACACACACTTATTAAACTACTTCTTCATGTGACATCTTTTTCTTTATGTGGTATTTTGACCAAATTACAGGATGGAAGAGTGTAGATTCTGTACCAAAGCTGGTTAATGACTACATGAATAAGAAATTCAATCTGGATTTATTTGTGACCCACACCCTGCCCTTTGACAAAGTCAATGAAGCATATGACCTAATGAACCAAGGAAAAAGGTAAATCACTAGATAGATGATTTGAGTGGTTTAGAAACCTTTGTGCTGAGTCTTTTAAAATATCATTTAAGCCAGGTGCCGGTGGCTCACAACTGTAATCCTAGCTACTAAGGAGGCTGAGATCTGTGGATCACGGTTCAAAGCCAGCCTGGGCAGGAAGGTCTATGAGACTCCAATAAACCACTAAAAACCAAAAGTTGCACTGTGGCTCAAGCGGCAGAGTGCTCGCCTTGAGCTGAAGAGTGCAGGGATAGCACCCAGGCCCAGAGTTCAAGAACCCACAACCAACAACAACAACAAAATTTAAGACCTCTCCAGTTTGCCTTTTCTGACTTTATTGTAACTGTTAAATTACAATTACAAATCAACAATTAAATAATGGCCACTTTGAAAAAAAAAGCTGTTAGTTCTGTAAGGCACCCTGTTACCTATAGTATGGTGTGGAGCACTAGTACAAACTGGTGTGTGCTTGTCCTTTCACCAGTGTTCACTAGGTGGCATTACCCCCCTACAAGGAGAGGCTTCTCAATATAATGTTAGACCCCTCTGGTTCAGTGTACTCCTGAGTCTAGAATGCATATGTTCTGCAATTTGACATGGAGTGTCCACACCAGGCCCTACATGAAAGCGCCCTTTGACACCACAGGGATGTGAGCACACAGTGGCAGGTGTCAGACTGGTGAAGGATCCTTCGACTCTGTCATTATCTTGCTCTGACCCTTTCTGACCCACAATTTTAGATATCAGGTACTTTCTTTTATTGGACTCTAGGAACTGATTTATAGCCATGTTCCAATTGAACATTACCCTAGGAGTGGGATGTGGGTAAGACGAGGAATGATAATTAACTTAAAATGTTCAATATTGTTCAGTAGAAGCAAAGAATGAAAAACATGAGGAATAAGATTACTTAGAGGAGGGGGGTGGGAAGGTGGCTCAGTGGTAGAGTGCTTGCCTAGCATGCATGAAGCCCTGGATTTGATTCATCAGTACCACATACAAAGAAAAAGCCAGAAGTAGGGCTGTGGCTCAGGTGGTAGAATGCTAGCCTTGAGCAAAAGAAGCTCAAGGAGAGTGTCCAGGGCCTGAGTCAAGCCCCCGGGACTAACAAAAATAAAAAGATTACTTAGAGTAGATATAGGGCAAGGAGGAAAAGTAAACTTGAAGGCCTAACAAAGATATGAGAAGCTAATGAGGAGGTAAAAATGACAGGAGCTCACAGAAGAGAATAAATGTTTTAGAAAAAGTAAGAAGGTCTATGATTTGAGGACCCAGGCTTTTTCACAAAGAAAGAACATGTGAAAGCCACAACATAACAAAAAGAAGTTCAATCAAACAAAAGAAAAAATAAAGATTATCTTTAAACTATACTGTAAAACTTTACTAGTAAAGTAATATGCACATCTCACTATGGCCCAAATTGTGTGTTCTTCAAGTTAGTAGCTGGGTATGGGTTTGGAGCCTTATGCCTGAAGTTCATAGTTCCTCTACCATGACCCCTTACCCTAGAGATCTCAGTCACAGACTTAAGTGATAGTCAAATGGAAAATATTCCATCACTTTATCAGTAGGTTGGCAGGTCTCCATTTCTGCAAGGAGGCTTCCCTCATAATTAGCCCTGATGTCATTTTCCCTTGCTGATCTCCAGAAGAAACCACCTGATTGTCCACACAGATGGAAAGGTAGCATCAGGAAAGGAACTTAATGGTCCTCCCAGGTATACTCACCATGTGGCACAGGTCCTCTTTCCACAACTGCACAGAAGCAAGGGAGTAGATGGAGGGGGTTGGAATACCACATCTGTTTACCCTGGCTTCTGATGAGGAAAAGTCTCAGTTTCTCCTCCTGCACAAAGATGTCACTTCCAGTTTCTGGGTAGAGAAAATATGTAAGCATGGTACCCTGCTGATGTCAGGAAGTCTACAGTAATGTCTGAGATAAGGAATTCTCTGTCCTTGAGGCTTATCCCTTTCTTAATTCTCACACTTTGAAGTTATCAAGGATTGAAAACATCTGGGTTGTCAGAAAGTAGCATCCCAACACACAGAATTCCTCTCATAAGCATGTTTGCCTTGGCAAAGGGAAAGCCAAGAGCAGTGACTAGCCTCATTCCTCCTTGGTATGCTCTATTATCAATGGCACCAGAAGGCAACAGGACTCCACAGCTCAAATGAGATCACAATTTCCTGAATGACTATGAAGAAAGATTAGACCAAACGCTGAACTGAAAGAGCAAATATTACTTGTGGGCTTTGGGTAAATTGATCGGGTAAATTAATTTATTATTGCTTTATTTTTATTAACAGCATCCGAACAATTCTGACCTTTTGAAGATCCTAGGAACAATTTGGAAGATCATTGTCTGGTTAATATGATAAATCAAGGAAAGTATGACTTGTAAGAAACAGTCTCTGTTAATATCTCACCATAAAATAGCAATTAATATGAGAAGCATCTGTAATCATGTATGTTTTCAGACTTACCTGTGTTAACAATGATAACTAAAGTATTCAAGAATAGAATCATAAGATGGTTAGGAATTGTCTAAAACTTTGGGGAGAAAGAATGAATAAATAAAACTGGATTTTCTTATGTTTATAATTTTTAAGCTCACTAGTGAATATATGGAGTCTCATTATACTGTTGTCTACACTTTTGTCTGTTGAAATTTTACTACAAAAACCTTAAAGTATCACTAAGTTTATCACTGTATTGATTATATACATATATAAATTACTGTTACATGATTTCTGTGTTCTACTAAGCCACAAGACATTCTTTGTAAATAAGTTGCCAAATTATTTCCTTTTTATGTTATCTTTTCTTGTCCCCTCTACTATAACCAGAAGTAATGAGATATCAGAACCTACATAAAGATTTATTTAAAGAAAAATGAGTCTATGCTCTGAAAGATCTGTTTCCTAAAATAATCTTCCTTTTTATCTTTGATAATTTTCATAACTGTAATGTGTAGTGCTTTCTTTGCAGATCACTCTTACTCACATGAACTGGCATGATTTTCTACATCCAATTGAAAGTAACATAGAGGGCTGGGAAGGTGGCTCAGAGTGATTGCCTTGAATGCATGAGGCCCTGGGTTCTATTCCTCAGCACCACATATGCAGGAAAAGCCAGAAGTGGCACTGTGCCTCAAGTGGTAAAGTGCTAGCCTTGAGCTGAAAAGCTGAGGGACAGTGCCCAGGCCCAGAGTTCAGGCCCCACAACTGACAAAAAGAAAAAAAAAGTAACAAAAAGTGAAGCAAACTGGGCTCTAGTGGCTCACATTTGTAATCCTACCTACTCAGGAAGCTAAGATTTGAGGGTCAGGGTTTGAAACTAGCCCAGACAGGAAAGTCTATGAGACAATTAACCACTAAAAAAATCTAGAAGTGGAGTTGTGGCTCAAATGGTAGCATAATAGCCTGGGGCAAAAATGCTCAGAGACAGCTCTCAGGCCCTGAGTTCAAGCCCCAGTACACACACACACACACACACACACACACACACACACACACATAAGAGCAATGCTAATTACCATAAAGTTATATAGTGGGTGAAGAGATTTGTGTAAGATTCAACAGTAAGATTAATGTAGGAGGAGCAAGTGGGAGTTTTCAAACTCTTACCATCATAGATGTTGGAATAGTTACTCACAAAAGATGAGTTACCTAATTCATGTTAGAGTAATAGACAGTAGCTTCCAACCTGGAGTAATTTCTTAAATCTACCTGTTTTCTTTAAAACGTCTACATTTTGAACTCTGAGAGAAAACCATCTCTGAAGCTTTAGCTGATGTGAGTAGTAGTGACACAAAGTAGAAACTCACATTGCTTAGTTAAGATTTTATTTCTTTGGAAATAGAAGCCCGTTATCTGTAGATGTTTCCTGTGTTGGCATTATGGAGACTAAGCTGTACCCTGCTGTTGGTTGCCTTTCTCACATTTTCTCTGGATAGAGGTTTTCTTTCTCCTCATCCTCTGTCTCCTCTCCTTTGCCTTTTCAAATCTCCTATGTTGTTTGGGACTCTGCCTCCTCTTCAACTCCTCACAGCCACAAAGCTGTTTTCATGATCTACATTGACTTCTTGTCTCTTTGCTGAAGTCTTGGCATATGCTGCTTTGTAGTTTTTCAAGCATTTGTTTGTAAACTTCTTGAAATGAAAACAATCTCTAAATACATTCAAAGACACTCTGTAAACACTTTTCTTGATATTGAAAGTTTATCCTCATGAATGTGTAAATAGTTCATACTTTTTAGAATAGAATTTTTCTAATATACTTCCTAAGACACTTTCTATACCAAAAACTATTAATTTTTCAGAGAAAAATAATTAAATACACAACATAATGAGAGGCTGATTTTTCTGGATCTGAAATTATTACACATATTTTAAAATGCCAGCTGCAAAGGTGTACAATATTGAATCACCAGATTGCCAGTTTTCAAAATACTGCTACAACACCCTCTTGTGGTGATTCTTCATTTCTTCATCTCTTAGATGCTATCTTCTCCATGCCTTGCAATTACTAGGTTTCTGGTTCATGGCTGTTCACAAAGAGCACTTTTCCATTTGAGCCACACCTCTAGCCAAGCTTCTGGTTGGATAGTTTGGGGTGGAGTCTCAGGGATATGGCTGCCCAGGATGGCTTTGAACTGAGATCCTCCAAGTCTCAACTTCCTGAGTACCTAGAATGATAGGCATAAGCCACTGACACCCAACATTGACATTTATAAAGAGCACTTTCATGCATTATTTCTCCTGGTCCTCAAACATTTTTAACTATGTCATAAGCTCTTTAACGACAAGTCCATTTGCCTACTTCCTGCCTGCCTTTGAGGTCTTCCAGCTATTCACCCAGAGACAGGCAAGAGAGAATTTATTCACATTATTGAGTGAATCCTGTATTTCAGGAAACACTGTTTTCTAACTAGCCTATGAGAACCACAGTCTCTGCAAACTGAACCCATGGAAGGATGGATAGGAACAGGTAGGAGACTGTTGTTGTCTTTATGAGAACAGGAAGGAAGGAAGGGAGGAAGGGAGGAAGGGAGGGAGGGAGGGAGGAAGGGAGGGAGGGAGGGAGGGAGGAAGGGAGGAAGGGAGGAAGGCAGGCAGGCTGCTGAAGGGGTAGTAATTTCACTCTCCATAAAAATAAAAAAGATAATGGTAGAGAGAAGACCCTTTACATCCTGCCTCAGGAAAGATATTGCAGGCTAGAGCTACAGATGTCTTGCAACTATGCTATTTCCAGCATTCCTCTTCCTTTGTAATCATTTTTCTTTATACTCGTTCCTTTACATTATCACCAGAAGATCTGAGAGCTCAACTTCATTTAACCTGCATTAGTACTGAGTTTGGGTTTCTATGTATAAATAGGGGCTGGGAAGGCGGCTCAGTGGTAGAGCACTTGCCTTGCATGCCTGAGGTCCTGGGTTCGATTCCTCAGCACCACATAAGCAAAAAGAAAAAAGCCGGAAGTGGTGCTGTGGCTCAAGTGGTAGAGCGCTAGCCCTGGGCTGAAGAGCTGAGGGAGAACGCCCAGGCCCAGAGTTCAGGCCCCACGACCAGACCCAAAAAAAAAAAAAATCTATGTATAAATAGATGGTCTTAACCATTCTTATTACAGCAGTGCCATAAAGCACCCACAGTGCTCCTTACATGACATACAATTATGTTCTGCCCTTGAATTCCCTCAGAATTTATTCTCACAAAAACTGGTCAGAAATTTTTTATCTATATGAATTATCAAAATGTAGTGCAAATTATTGTGGTAGTTAAGCTATCTCCTTCCACAATTAATTTGTAATTAGTCCTCACAACTTAATCTGACCATAATTACAGGTGTGAGAAATGAGGGATAATGAGGGATGGAACATGAGGGGTTGGCTTCCTCTAATAACTCTAATACTCCTTTTGCAATGGTAAAATCCATGGGCAAGCCTTATTAAGAACAGAATTTCCTGGCACATTTCAGAATGGTTGCTTTCCAACTACTGACAGGAAAGGGGAAAGATTTTTCTCCAATCTTCACTGTGAGGACTTACGGAGATGACACTCCTCAATCATGAATGCCTGCCTTCATCCATGAATAGGTTGCAGCTGACCACAAGAAGACTCTAGCAGTTCAACATTTACATTGCAACTCCAATACTGGTTCCAGCAGTGATGGGTTTTTGACCTCAAGTAAATATGGTTGTCTATAACCATCTGCCTCTCTAATTTTGGAGGCAGCAGTTTCCCCTGTGACCTCACTTCTCTTACAGATCTAAGAATTGTTAATTCCCCAGTTCATTCAGCTTTTTACTGGAGAGATGTCTACTTACATGTCAGACCACAAACCAGAAGTCTTATTACTGTTAAACAACATACTATAAAGCTCAATGGTCTCTTTCCAGAAGATAAATGATGTGTCTTCAATAGGGAAAAGAAAAATAACTCACTGCTAAAAGTTCCATCACTAGAAATTGCTTCCCACATCCCAAGCAGAAGTACCAGAATATACAAGAAAGCACAGAGCCTTTTGAAAGAATGACAAATGTTCCACAAGAGAGACTTGTCTGGCAGAAAAGCAAGAAATAAGAACAGAATGAGGTGATTCAGGGCTGACTAGGCTAAGGACAGAGTTTAGGTTTTATCTCTTAGTCCATGAAGAATTTAAAATAGAATAGTGACATTTTGTTTATAACACAACTCACTCAAAAACGTTAATCAGTAGAAAGGAAATGGCATCAATTAATGTATGTTTTAATAGGGAATATTAATTTAATAGCACATTCGATTTTAACCTTCTGGTATCAAGTAACTTAGATGGAAGGCTCTTTCCACAACAGTGTAAGAAATAATGAGAGGCTGAATAAAGGCAGGGATAAAGATGTGAAAGATATTTAGGGTTTGGTGACAGATGGGATGTTGGAAGTGAGGGAGAAGTTGTGATTCTCGGGTCTCTGGCTGGAGGAAGAAGGTGGATGCTATCAATGTACAGAGACACAGAGGGGAAACAAGTCCCTGTAAGGATAAATACAAGATAAACTGTAGATGAATTGAGTTTGAAATACCGCAGAATCTCCTAGTAGAGACAAGTATCTAAAAGGCAGTTGTGCATGCAATCATAAAGTTTAGGAGAGTCATCCCGATTGGAGATTATAATCTGGTAACCATTCTAGTATCATTAGAGAAGTTAAAAGTTATTGTTTGGGTGAGGGGGGGGGAGAAGGACTTTGAACAGAATCTTCGAAAACACCAACCATTAAGTGTTAGGTATTTAAATAGGTTTAAGTAGGTAGCCGGTAAAGAGACACCATGCACTTTCAGGCAGGAAGAGAAGTCTATTTTACCGAACTGCTTTCCCCCGCCATGCATGGTGGAGACCACATGGGCGAAAGAAGGGGCAGCCTGAGGTATGACCTGGGTTTAAGTAGGGAAAGGGAAGGGGAGAAGGTAATGCTAGGTGAGGGAAGGTGTGGCGATCCCGGATGTGGATGTGACCTAAGGGACTGGGACCCTCCCCTGGTCCTATGGGGAAAGTGCATGACCCCGGTGAGGCCCAGGATGTGAGCTCCCCGTGTGCCGGTTACCCACCTGACACAGGCACAGGGAAGACTTAGCCAGGAGGAGGGAAGAGCCAGCCTTGCCTTCCCGGCGCAGACCTTCCATGAAGGCGTATACTTAGGAAATGAAGCATGAAAGACTGAAGAGTAGACCAAGCGTCTCCGTGTGCCAGCACCATTCCAGCAAACCATCTTCCCTCCCCAGAGCGTCCCACTGGGAGGCTTCTCACAGCAGTGACTGACTTCCGGTCACGTGCTGCGGGCCCGGCCACAGCTCCCCTCTACACTCGCGGTTCCTAGGCTGACCCTGCATGGGGAGATTCCCAACCAGGGTGACTTGCAATGAGCCTATCGAAGGACCCACGAAGGCGTCGCCGGTGGCCCGCCAGGCTGGAAGCCACCTCAGACAAGCTCGCACCAGGTAGACTTACGTTTTTCACCTCGCACTTCCGGTTCCCCCCACCCCGCCCGTCTCCCACGCTGCCAAGCCCCGCCTCCGCGCATGCTCCGCGGGAGGCAGCACCGCCCAGGCCCGCCTCCACGCTTGCCCCGCCCACATCCCCAGGCCCAGGCTGTCCATCCGGGACTTCTGCGCAGACCCGACATGGCGAACCAGGTATCCCGGGGCGCGCCATGGGTCCCGAGGCGGGAAGGGGGGCACAGGTGGCTGCGGGTCCCCAGCCCGGGAGCGCGCGGGCTTGGATAACAGGATCCCCGGCCAGCACGCGAAGGAGAGGAAGGGAGGCTTTGGGACCCGGGCTTGCAACGCGGCTTCCTCTGCTCTCTGCAGCAGCGTCGGGAGACCGGGGCGCGGGTCGGGCGGGAGGAGCGGGGCCGGGAGCCCGGGGCCGGCAGGCGCGGGCCTCGAACCTTCGGTCCTTCTGCGTCCCGCTTGTTCGGCCCGATCCTCCGTGGATGGCGTCCGCGGTGGGCCGTGCCGTCGGCGTCCGCCCCGCTCGTCGCTGTGCTGCTTGGGGAGGACGCCGGGGTCCCTGGACGGCGGGGCCGCGGCCCCGGAGAGCAGCCTCCTCCTGCAAGCCTTGCACAGCGGCTCTGCGGGCTCTCCGCCCATCAGAGCAAAGGTCAGAGCGCGGCCTTCCCAAGTCCGGTGTGCTTGTGGTCAACACCGGATGCCCAGTGGGGAGCCGACGTGGTTCTGCACCCTAGGTCTGTTTGCACACTTCGGTCCCCGGGCCCGGGAAAACATTACACAAGCAAGACAGGCCATCAGCCTCCTGATGCTGATCACATTGCACACTTGGGATATTTTCTAGAAGGGTCTGTGTTCTGAAATGTTGAAGTTTAAAGGAAATGAAACATTGTGACAGGGCTTTTGGTCTTAATAAAGAAGCATGCAGCTTTTGCTGTGTGTCGTGGGGCAGGTCTGTAATCTCAAGCATGGGGAGTCAGCTTTCAAGGCCAACCGAGGTTAGGTACCGCAGGCTAACGGGGGTTACAAAGCAAGAAGCCATGATCTTTAAGAATAAACTAAATAAATACACACTTTTCCCTTAATGCCAAATATCTGCAGAGGAGCTGCAAAAAAGTCACTCCTCTAATGGCTCAGAGGTTGAAATAGAGCAAGTTCCCTGGACTTAAGAATGTTTTGCTTAGGGGGCTGGGAAGGTGGCCCAGTGGTAGAGCACTTGCCTTGCATGCATGAGGCCCTGGGTTCAATTCCTCAGCACCACATAAGAAAAAAGCCGGAAGTGGCACTGTGGCTCAAGTGGTAGAGCGCTAGCCTTGAGCTGAAGAGCTGAGGGACAGCGCCCAGTCCCAGAGTTCACACCCCACTACCGACCAAAAACAAAACAAAACAAAAAGAATGTTTTGCTTAGAATTGTCACCAAAAGAACATGGCTAAGCTCCTTTCAAGCGTTTTCTAAAGGGGAGAAGTATCAGACTTTAATTCTGGATGAATTATTATTTTATCATGTCACTTGTGTCTGTAAGTTACAAGAGCAAATTGTTAGTATTCTAAATTTGGTCCTTTGGTATTTTGTTTTGAGGTCTGTGAGACATAAATGTAAAATAAGATCCTGTTCCTGTGTCTAAATTTTTTCTTCTGTCTGATTTAATTTCTTTTTCTTTTGGGAGGAAGGCAGTACTGGAATTTGAACTCAGCCATGTATTCACAAGTGTTCTACCACTTGAGTCACACCTACAGCTTTTTGATTTCGTTATTTTTTCAAATAGAGTCTCATGGTTCTACTTGTTTTTCATAATTATTAACTTTCAAGTCTGTCTCCTGTTAATCCAGGGATTTGTGACCTTGATTCTGCCAACACATTTCAGAAGCATGTGAATAGACCCAAACCTAACTTTACCAGTGCTTGATGATGGTAGTGATTCTCACTAACCACTAGCTACTCTGTGCTGTAGATAAGTAAGCTGCATATGTAGTTTTAATTTTTTCAGTAAGGGCATACAAAAGAACAAGTGAAATTAATGTTAATAGCTTGTTGGGTGCTTTCTGCCCAGACTGGCCACAAACCACAATCCCTCTCATCTCTACCTCTAGAGTAGATGGGATTGATTGCCCACCTCATCTGCTCTTCTTTATGTGTTATAGTCATTGAATAGTTGATGAATACAGATTTTAGCTGAGAGAGGTTTTTATAGAGTGAAGAGGTAGCCATCTCAAGTTTTTTGTTTTTTTTTTTTGGTCGGTCATAGGGCTGGAACTCTGAGGCTGGGCGCTGTCCCTCAGCTCTTCAGCTCAAGGCTAGTGCTCTACCACTTTGAGTCACAGCACCACTTCCAGCTTTTTCTGCTTATGTGGTGCTGAGGAATTGAACCCAGGGCCTCATGCATACAAGGCAAGCACTTACTACTGAGCCACTTTCTCAGCGCCACTGTTTTTTTTATTAGTAAACAATTTACTTTCTTTTTTTCCTTCTCCTGCTGTAGGTTATCAAGTGCAAGGCTGCAGTTGCCTGGGAAGCTGGAAAGCCTCTCTCCATAGAGGAGATAGAGGTAGCTCCACCAAAGGCTCATGAAGTACGAATTAAGGTAATGATGCACCTGAGACACTGGGAAAGGACTCATAATAAGGTCTCTGCAGAGATGAGTAAGACTGAGGCCTACAAAGAATTGGTCTCAAAGGACAGAGTCAGGGAGAAGGTATGGAAAGTCTCTCCAGCCCTAGAATCACAGCATCCTGTTCTTACCCCTGCTCATCTTTGCAGGATTCCCCTCCAGCATTTTAGCTGTGGAATGGAGCTGAGCAACCATCCCCAAGAATTACTGAGTTAGTGCAATATGTATGACTTCAGTTTTGGGTTTAAGGTAGTTTTGTAAACTCCTCCTTTTTCTGCTGAAAAAATACATAATTTCAAAGGTACTATGTCATATTAGAAATAGAATAAGAAATGATTTTCAGTTTTTTTAGAAGCACCCCAAGAAAATCTGGAAGGAGGCTCCAGATGAACTACAGCAATAAGCAAATGAAGTCCCTTAATTGTGGAGCTTTTTGATGGACAATTCATGGCAGCAGGGCCAGGCGTCAGTGGATTTGTGTTCCCTGTGCTGCTCCATCTCACAAGAAGAGAAAGGACATTACCTCTGAATAGAGGTCTCTTGAACAAGGCAGCCAGCTCTAGCCTTGACATTTATAAACTTGTTCCTTTTAGCATTCGCTTCTCTACTTGTTATTAGACATAAAGTTAATGCTTGAAAGTAGTGGGTGTTTCCTTAACATCCTATGAAAAGGTTACATTTAAGAAAAAGAGTCACAGATCTCTTTAAGTTGGCAAATTAAGCAGGTTGTGGGTTTTGCCACCAGTGAAGACAGTGTCTGTCCTGGGAAGTAAGGTGAGCTGTTTGCAACAGGATGGGTTCAGTTCTCATTCCTGGGAAACAGCTAATGGGTGGCAAAGAATGTTACACTTCACAGACACATGCAGGCCAGAAGCAGAGCAGTGCAAATGCAAGAGCTCTGAGATTTCTGTGCTTTGGTGGCTCAGAAAGATAAGATTCTTGAGAGCCAGAGAGAGAGGAGTTAAAGGCTTATGTACTACTTTGGTGGCAGAAAAGGAGTGCTGCGAGTGAAAGCGCTTAGATTGGACCCAAACTCCAGGAGACATCTGGCATATTTCAGAGCCAGTGCTCTTCAAAGAAATACCATTTCCATACAGGAAACTAGCAGTGAGAGAGCCGTGGTGTTCCTCTCCACACCTGAAAACACACTGCTCATAAAACTGTCTCATTTACCTTTTCCTGCCAACAGCACATGCACACACACACACACACACACACACACACACAGAGAGAGAGAGAGAGAGAAAAGGAATAGTGGGCATTTTTCATTGCATAGAAACATACCACCATCAAATGTTCCAGGACTCATTGTGAGGACTCCTTGGGTTACAAACACTGCTAACTTTCAGGAAGTTAAACTCTGAATGAAATGTCCCTCAAAGTTAACAGAATGCTTTGTGTGGTAAAGTACCTTTCGTCGACTTGGCGACTCTCCCTGAATTGCATGATCTCACACTCTGATGCCTTTTATTTTAATCTCCTTGTAGATCATTGCCACTGCTGTCTGCCACACTGATGCCTATACCCTGAGTGGAGCCGATCCTGAGGGTTGTTTTCCAGTGATCTTGGGACATGAAGGTGCTGGAATTGTGGAAAGTGTTGGTGAAGGAGTAACTAAGCTAAAGGCAGGTGAGCAAAGCATTTGAACCACTTACCTCATGATTTTGGTTCATTTTTGTAGCAAAATTACTTTTCTGATACACCGCATAAATGATTATGTATGAATAGTTATTACTAAGGAAAGTCATCAAGATTGATGTCTTTATCTTGTAAGCACAGATACTGGGATTTATTTCCCTTTCATTCTGCAAGATTGCTGTGTATTTGCAATTGTTTTAAGTGCACTTGCAAAGCCAATCTTGGCAATCTAAAGCACAGATTTTTAGATATAGACGAGTGAATCAATGTTTTGAAATACAAGGCCTTTTATTTACATTAAAAACTTTTGAAGCATACTTTTTTTGCACAGTCAGTGTCAGAATGCTGTTCTGTGGGTAGTTTCAGATCTTGATGTGAATGTGTGGAACTGCATCAGCAGACAGGAATGAATGTTTGAGGCTGCTATATTGATAGAATCACATTTCCTAACTCAGGATAATATCTGCGTGTTTGCTTTCCAGGTGATACGGTCATCCCACTTTACATCCCACAGTGTGGAGAATGCAAATTCTGTCTCAATCCTAAAACAAACCTGTGCCAGAAGATAAGGTTGGTGTTCTTTTATTATACTTTGGTTTTTTAATTTTTTTTTTTGAGACAGGATCTTCCCACCTAACCTAAGTTGTCTTGCTATTCACCATCCTCCTTCTGCAGTCTCCCCAATCCAACTATTTTTTAATCAATTAATTTTATGGTTGTAAAGGTGATGTACTGAACTGAAGGATTGCAATTACATGAGTCAGGTAATGAGTACATTTACTTTCTTACAGTGTCTTCTTTTCCCTCACTCTCTCCCAGCATATCCAGTTATTCTTTAAATAAAAAAAGGGGGGGCATTTTACTAGTAATTATGTGTTTTTGTTTTGTTTTGCTTTGCTTTTTTGCCAGTCCTGGGGCTTGAACTCTGGGCCTGGGCACTGTCCCTGAGCTTCTTTTGCTCACGGGCTAACACTCTACAACTTGAGCCACAGCGCCACTTCCGGCTTTTTCTGTTTATGTGGTACTGAGGAATCAAACCCAGGGTTTCATGCATGCTAGGCAAGCACTCTCCAAGCCACATTCCTAGCCTTTATGTGTTTGTTTTTACATGGATTATTTCATGCCAGCTTTTCACTGTCACCATCATTCATTTTCCTGTTTTCCACTATGACAGTGACAGTACTCAGAAGTTAAATTGCTCAGTGTCACATTAAGTTACAAATCAGAATTTTCTGAACCTTTTTTTCTATCTTATATTTTCTTTTTATAAGGAAGGAGATGTTTTGAGATTAAGTGTAATCATTTTATAGGCCATTTTATTGTCCATGTAATCAAAGTAATGGAGTAATAAAAATTATCTCGAGGTTACTGGGAAGCTTAGGAGAGAGAGATAACATAACCTTTTGATGTAGAAAAAGTGGTTACCTTATTGTAAGCTAATACCACATTGGGGACTGCTGATTGGAGTGGTTGCAGCCAGTTTTTTGTGGGTTTTTTGGTCTTTGATTTTTTTATTGTTATTATAAAGGTGTTACAGTCACTTAAGTCAGGTAATGAGTACATTTCTTTTTAGACAATGTCACCCCTTCCCTCATTCACTCCCAGTTTTTCCCTCCCATCCCCACCCACATTATATAATTCATTTTCAACATAGTATTTCTTGAGTACCACTGCTGCATTTGTTCACCTTTTGTCCAGATTGGAGGCAGTTTAAGATCCCCTTTGTTCCTTTTCTTTTACTAGAAGCAGAACATGCACAACATATAGTACTTAGAGTATACACATCTTAAATGTACAGCTCAGTGGATGTTTTTAGATGTTTACCTGATAGTTAGAGGCTTCACCCAGATCAAGATAGAGATCTCTGCCACCCCTTAAAGTTCATTGTGTCCCTCCAACTCAGTGTCAGCTTTTTTTCTTTCATTCATACTGAGCCAGGTCCAAGTTGCTGTGTGCTCTCTACTACTCTACTGAATTACATTCCAAACACCACTGCTTGTCCTCTGTCCTGTTAATGGACATTTGGGTTTGGGGGGACTGTTAGGATTAATGCTACTAGGGACATTTCTTCTACAGACCTTGTGAAGCATTTGTGCATCACTTTTTTGTGGGTGTTTTCCTGGGATTGAAATTGCTAAGTTATAAAAAAAACATTTACAACTCTCCAGTAAAAATGTAAGAGATCTTTACACTGCTGCCAGAATTATATGAAACAATGTTTGCTCTTAAATTTGTTTCTAATAACTCTAAGAAAATTTGAAGCAGCGGATTTTCTCCCTGTCTATGTATTTATTCACACACAGACCAAAGGGTTTATTTGAGTGTACAAATTACAGTGTTTTATTTTGCTTAAAATGACTATGGGGGTGCTGGAAGTGTGGCTTAGTGGTAGAGTGCTTGCCTAGCATGCATGAGGCCCTGGGTTCAATTCTTCAGTACCACATAAACAGAAAACAGTAATAAAATGATTACAGCATGCACTAGCTCATGCTTGTAATCTTAGCTCCTAGGGAAGCATAGATCAGGAGGATCATGGTTAAAGGCCCACCTGGGAAAAAAGTTAGCAAGACCTCATCTCATTTTGTAAGCCAGCTGTGCTTGTCATCCCAGCTACTCAGGAGGCTACAGGTAGGAGGATCAACATTTGAGACCAGCCCCAGGCCAAAGTTCATAACCCTGCCTGCAAAATACTTAAAAAGGAAAGATCCAGGATTATACAGATTTTGAACCAAATGACCTTACTTTAGGGCTGTGGTCCTAATTAAGATGTCTGAGTCCCCACCTATTTTAGGATCTTGGTTGTAGTGGTTACCTCTGTGCATTTGGAAGTTATTGTTTTGTTTGCTTTTTTTTTTTCTTACTGTGGTAACTCACATATGCAAAACAAAGAGGAAGAGGAAATAGAATTTGAATGTTTTTTTAAAAAGGCCTGCAAGATTTCCATGAGCCAGTTTGGCCACTGTTTTCTTCACTCCTTTTGTAGTTACTACTGTGGCTTCTTTGGCTGAGGTTACTCACACATTTTTATGATGGAATCTTGAAATAATTTCATCTCACCCTTACATAATATGTGTTAAAATGAGTTCAATACTCTGACAAATTCCAAAGGGTATTGAAAGATGGTTAAGATTACAATCTTTTACAAGCTCGCTGATAAAGCATGGCTGAAATGTGACGCTATTAAAGAATGTATTAGAAATTAAGCTTTGAATCTTAGTACACTTTTTTAAACAATTAACGTTCTCCTCTGGGTTTTAGGAAACCTAATTCCACACTGCCATTTTCCTTTTTATTGATTTTTTTTTTCAGAGTCACTCAAGGAAAAGGATTGATGCCAGATGGCACTAGCAGATTTACTTGCAAAGGAAAAACAATTTTACACTACATGGGAACCAGCACGTTTTCTGAGTACACAGTCGTCGCTGACATCTCTGTTACTAAAATTGATCCCACAGCTCCGCTGGACAAAGTCTGCCTTCTAGGTTGTGGCATTTCCACAGGTTATGGTGCTGCTGTGAACACTGCCAAAGTAAGGGGTTTGCCTGGGTTTTAGCTTCCACCTTAGCCTCCAATGTGGTGTCTTTAACTGCCATGCAATGTGCCCCTGACTGACTTGTCTTTGCTGTTAGGTGGAGCCTGGCTCTACTTGTGCTGTCTTTGGTCTCGGAGGAGTGGGACTGGCTGTTATCATGGGCTGTAAAGTGGCTGGTGCATCCCGGATCATTGGTGTGGACATCAATAAAGATAAATTTGCAAGGGCCAAAGAATTTGGAGCCTCTGAATGCATTAATCCCCAAGACTTCAGTAAACCCATCCAAGAAGTTCTCGTTGAAATGACTGATGGAGGAGTGGACTACTCCTTTGAGTGTATCGGTAATGTGAAGGTCATGGTGAGTACGCTGGCCTTCGTTCCTTGTTTGTGGAGCTTCTGTTCCAATATACTCTCAAGGTTAAAACGGAAAGCAAATTGTTTTAAATTTGCTTCATTTGTGTTAATATCATCTGGGGAAGCATTTCTTAAAATATTTAAGATACTTATCCAATAATATAATAATACAGTAATTGTCCAATAAAACTCCAGAAGTGGTACACCCTCACTACAACATCTTAATCACAATGAAATTGTATTTTTAAATAAACGGCACGCCGAGCCTCTGGGGACGCAGGCATTCTTGGTGTAACCGTGACACCTGTGCTGGTCTTTCCTGTGTGTCTAGAGGGCTGCACTTGAGGCGTGCCACAAAGGCTGGGGGGTCAGCGTGGTGGTTGGAGTTGCTGCTTCAGGCGAAGAAATTTCTACTCGTCCCTTCCAGCTGGTGACAGGCCGCACGTGGAAAGGCACGGCCTTCGGAGGTAATTAGCAGATAGGAAGAGTACAGTTTACTCTTGCGAGTTCCAGTGGCAGATTAGAAACCCCAGGCTGATTTTCAGTACTAGTCAGCATCTCCTTCTTGAGGCACCTTGTTGTCATAAATTGTCTCCTGCATTTATTTTAATAGGAGCGTATCAAATTTAGTATTTACCCTTGGAGCTGCAAAGGGACTCATCTTCTGAAACACTGTTACAGTTTTTTCAATTTGGGTTTTTGGTTGCCAGTACTGGGGCTTGAATTCAGGCCTACACGGGTATTCTAAGCTGGGTGCTGAGCTTCAAGGGTCTTGGTAGTAACCTTTAACCGAAGCCCTTGTCCTCCTACCTACCACGGAGAAATTGGCTGGAGCATTATCATTGATTGCATCTAAAATATGACCCAAAGATGTAAATGGAAATTCTGATCCAGAGAACAGGCATGCTAAAATATTCTGAGTATATTTAAGGGAGAAATGTAAAACTTCCATTATTTGTTTGGTTTTTTCTTTTTTTGGGTGGGAGGGGGGAATCCTGATGGAGGATGTAGTAAGGAAGATTTGGAGAAGGCCCAAGGAATTTGAAAGAGTCCTTAAAAGTGTGGGAAGATTTGTTGATTTTAGATACAAGTAAATTGAAACTTTTTTAAAGTTTTATCACTTGAAGATTTTGCATTTCTATCCTGAGATGTTATCCTTATTTCATTGTTAAATCTAGGACCCAGAAAATATGGTCCTTATATTGGCATAGTTTTTTCTTCCTTAAATACAGTGATGACAGAAGTCTTTGCTATTGTGGACTTAAATTTGTTGCTAAGACTTGCAGAGTTCTATATAGCTTAAGTATGGCGATTCTCACCTGCAGGCTGATACGATGCAGGAGGCTGTGACACCTGGGATAGACAGCAACATCCTGTCTCCAACAAAAAGTCACTTAGCCAAAACCTCAGTGAGATTTTAGTAAATCTTAATCCAGAACAAGGAAAGTATTCAAGAGTATATGTTTTCATAAAGATGTATCTCAAAGGCTAGGTCTAGGTCTGAGTGGTAAAGTGCTTGCCTAGCATGCATGAAGTCCTTGGTTTGATTCCTCAGCACCACATACACAGAAAAGGCCAGACGTGGTGCTGTGGCTCAATTGGTGGAGTGCTAGCCTTGAGCAAAAGCAGCTCAGTATGCCCTGAGTTCAAGCCCCAGGACTGGCTCCAAAAAAAATAATAAAAGATATATCTCAGATTCTTCCCTGCTTCATAGCAATTTGGGAAATTCTTACTCCTTTTGAATATCATTCTATTACATGTCTTTGTGCCACCTACTGAGTAATAGCATATGGTAACTGCATAGATTAGTGGATATATGATTTCTTGTAGGATGGAAGAGTGTAGAAAGTGTTCCAAAGTTGGTGTCTGAATACATGTCTAAAAAGATAAAAGTTGATGAGTTTGTGACTGGAAATCTGCCCTTCAACCAAATTAATGAAGCCTTTGAACTGATGCATTCAGGGAAGAGGTAAGCTCTCTCTCTCTAGATCCACATTCTAGTATGTAATAAATGGCTTGGGGCTGATGGGGTTGGAGGATCAAAAGAAATATAGCATTAGTAGTCATAAAGGAAACGTTCATCATTCACATCTGTTTATTGCTTCCTTCTTTACAGCATTCGAACTGTCGTAAAGATTTAGGTCCAAGAGAAATTGTCCATCGTGTTCCTATCCTGTAACGTGATGGGAGACCTTTCAAGTTCTTGGCTTCATCAACATAGAGCAATTCTATAAGAAGCAGCGATGTTCCCGTATGTGGAAGTAACTTGAAAGTCTCTAATCAAGGGCAAAGCTAGTAACAGTCACAAATCTATTTTCCAGATGCTTCACATAAATCACTGCTAGCTTAAGGAATATTTTTAAAACAATAAAAATGATTTCTACATTTCTGTGCTGTTGTCACCTATTTTTATGCTGTGCTCATTCTCATGGCTAACCTCCATTATTTACATTCCATAACGTGAACAGAGAAGAGACAGTGTTGCAGTTGAAACCAAGTGTCATTATATAGCCCAGACTGTCCTCAAACTCAGCCTCCTGCCTCTGCAGCCCCAGTGTTGTGATTACAGGCATTCGACACCAGTCACCTTTTTAATTAAAAAAAAAAAAAAAGAGGCCATGTTTTCCTATATGACTAAAAGCAACATGTATTTTTGGGTTCACAAATATGAAAAAGATTCTCAATAGTGCTACTCCAATCATATATGATATATAGATATATAACTGACCAACTTACTTATATTAAGTATATATTCTTGAGCCAGTCAGTTGATTTTAACAAGTATTAACATTTCTGGCTGAAAAGTACAAGATCTAGTATGAGGAAGCAGGTTTACATTACTCAGGATTCTTGGATTAGAGACTCAAGTAGAGGTGTAAAGGAGTCTTTAAGATCCTTTTTAATATATCTTGTTGGACACTGTGTATGTTGCTGAACCAAGCAGTTTTTGCAACAAAGTACTGAAAGAGCACAAGACTAAATGTGTGCCAGTTATCACTTCTATCCTTAAATTCTATGTCTTAAATTGGGATTCTACCACTTTGACAGGGTTGTGGGGAAATTTTTGAAAATATCTTCAAACTTTCCTTGACTAAGAAATGTAATTTCAAAAAGATGCTGTCATTGTGTATTTCATGAAAGCTAGTGATTTTTTTTTTAAGGATCTAAAATTTTGCACTGTTAGGAACTTAAGGCATCTTCACGACATTTAGTTGGTAAATTTCCATATGCCTAACATTTTTCAAATCTTGCCTACATTTCCATTTTTAGCTGTCCTGTTTTCTGTTTGGCCAACCTCGTAATACAATGCTTGCTGGAGGAAGTTACAAGCTCTTTATTCAACGCTCAGGAAGACTGGCAGCCAAGCAGATGAAAGTTCTGAAGTGTTCTTTGCATGTGAAATGAGTCTCCTAATCCCAAATCAAAACATTCAAGAATTTCCAGCAAAGCAGTCTTGCATACAGGAGGTCCATGGAAGTGGTGACCCAGAGGGATAAATGCATGAGACTTGACTGTAGGATTATATTCTCCCCATTGTGTAGATCTGGGGAAGGAGAACATTTTCCATGCTTGGAAGGCTCTTAAGAGCTTTCTCTATTTGGCTATCCACCTGCCTAACAAGTTGAAGGTCAGTGTCCTGAAGTGACTGACAGTTCTGTAGGCCTAGAAACAATGTGAACCCAGGAGGACTGATTTTGAATTCAACCAGTTGGTTTTAATTAACATGCAAGGTCAGATTGTCAGCAATTGCTTTTAGAAAAAATGTACCACAAAACTTTTGATCAAATATTAATGTATTTAAGCTACTTTGGTAATGCATAAAACTGTATCAAGGGCACTGGATCTTACCAAGTAGACAGGGTTTACACATTGTTCTCCATAACACAAGATTATGGCAGCAAAGTAGTTGAAATGGGCTGGGCTCTTAAACAGATTGATTTTTATCAACTGGAAAGTTAACAATTCAAAGTGTATGAGTTAAACATGCACATATTAACTCCAGTTCAAACATGTACTACAATATGTATACACACACATATGTATGTTAGAATTTAGATTTTATGCTTGTTAGAAAGGTACTGTGTCATTTAAGCCATAGCTTTTGGCTTGAGCTAGCCTGGACTATGATCCACCACACCCAGCTTTTTCTGTTGAGATAGGGCTCATGAACTTCATTGAGTCTGACCTGAAACAATGATCCTCCCAATCTCAGCTTCCTATGGAACTGGAATGACAGGCATGCTCAGCTACTGGTCCTGCAAACTTTTGTCCAGGCTTGCCTCAAACCACTATCCCCTTCCAGTTTCTACCTCCTGAATTGCTAGGATTATAGCCACTGCACCTGCTGAAATCTCTCTTGACTGCCAAAAATAGATGTGCTGGACAAGATTTTTAAAAAACAGCAGAAATGTGCTTGAAAATATATTGGTCTACTAAAGTTCTTTGGTGTTATTTTCTCAGAACCACTCAAGGCTCAAGTACATTAAGAGGACTTGAAATACTAAAGAAAAGTTTGGTTTATAATATTATATATAATAAACAGTTAAGTTGTGGTATCAGTGCACAAGAAGCCCTCTACTGATAAGTGCAATTGTCCTAATCATGCAATCACTTAAAAATGGTAGACATCAGATCCCTCTTGAAACACTGCGATACAACTGTGTGTACAGGTTTTGGAAAAAGCTTCCTTTGTACCCATCTGTGGTTAGTAGTAGGATAACTAAGGCAGAATACTAGTAATAGCACTGAGAATCTCATCACTCCATTGATGGAAGTAATTTTACAATAAAACCTTAGAGTACAAAGGCTGGACATCATAGAAATTTCCACAGAAGATATTACCAAAATACCTGAAGCTTCTAACACATCAGTAAGAAGTGGAAATTTTACAAGGGACTTTTTTAGAGTATTCCACATAGTGATGTTTTGGAACATTTTATTAAATAACCACACAAATGCCATAAACAAGCGGTTTTGTTGTTCAGTTCCCAAAATGAAAAGCAGCAGAGAAATTGTAGCCAAGGCCATCTACTTCCTGCTTTCTCTTGCAACGCATCCAAATGCAAGCCTCTGTTTTTCTTTTTCAAACTTAGCACTGTCCAGAAGAGAGGAAAAGCGAGGCGATGGAGGAGCCTGCCACACACAGCATCCCCGCAAGGCAGCTTGCCCAAGAACTCAAGCACAAGCCAGGGGCTGCCATGCATAGATCCTGGGCTACCACTCTAACCTTTCCTTGGATGCTCCCCTTCAAAATGAAAACACATTTTGTTAGTCCAGGGCAGCCTACGTTCTGAAACAAACTGTTCCGAGAACAATTATGGGCAGATGTTATTTTCTAATATGAAGGAATTGGGAAACAAGCCATGTTACAAAGTGGTCATTTACTCCTGAGCTAAAAGCTCGATAGAAATCTGGCACCATCTCATGAGAGCCCCAGTATTTCTAACTCCAGACTACAATATTCTCTTCGCCTCTTCTCTATGGTTTACCCCCAAGATTCACAATTTAAAAATAAGAAACAAAAACTGGCTCGTGGTTTATGAAACTTAGACTACAAAGGAGATGAAACTTATCTCACATATGTTCTAAAGACAATGACCAATTTCCTCCAAAGCTGGTAATCTGTTATTGTTCAAAAACAAAAGTTCTCAGAAAAGGAAGAGAGAAATGTTAACTGCATGTTAACTCTAGGGAAGAGAGATCAGTGTGGAATCTAAAGTGGAAGTATCAGAATGTATTTGGGATTTCTTAAGAATATTTCTAGGTAATACACTATGCATAAGTATTTCTAGTCTTTTCCTCTAGAAAAAGTCAGTTATGATCAGCAGCCCATTAAGTAGGAAAGTCACAGATAGGTCCCTTCAACAAGGCTAACACCTGCCTGAGCAGTAGCAAGGCCCTTTAGCCTCTGAGTGCAGTCATCCTTAATTTGACATTCAGTAGAATTTCCCTTCGGCCATTAGAGTAAGCAAGAAGATAGATATTGCTGGTTGTTTATGTTCACTTTTTGTTTTTTTTTACTTTGATCTTTGGGTACTTAAGTTGCAAATAAAATTTTATTACAAAAAAAAATTAAAAAATACACTGTACCTATGTACACTGAGTCCCCAGGTGAACTCAGGTCTTGATTTCCAAACACCATTCTCCATACAAAGAAACCAATTCTCAGTGTGGGGCAGGAAAAATACATAATCAACCTATATCTTGCTATGGCAAAAGCAAGAAAGTATTCATGATATAAAATAACCCACAAACTAGCTCAAAGAGACTTCCCACTGGCCAAATGTAGAATAAGAATTTTTAAAACTCTATGATTCCACACTGATTCTTAAAAAGGGGAAAGAGGCACTTAAGTGAAAGAGTGTCAGGTAATAAATACAGATTTAATGCTAGACTTAGAAAATGCCTGTAGCCCAATGTAGCAAAGTAGTGGATCTCAGCAAGGGTTATCATAAATGCAGACATCCCTGCATGAATGATACCAAATGTCTCCAAGTCCTGGGGGAAAAAAAGGTACTTGTACAATTGAAAGATCTGAATGACCCCAATGATCGAACAGCATTAGGAATAATGTGACACCAACATGTACCTTCATGAGATGTAATGAGTAGTAAATACAACCTGTTGTCTACGCAGTCTTCTGTCCAAATGCTTATCCCATGTCTTCATGACCATTAAATTTACAAGCCAACTGATTTTTTAAGGGTCATTCCATAAAATACCACAAAAAAGGAGGCAGAGGGTAGATTACTGTAAGACTACAGACACCTAACACAAAATGTCATGACTATGGCTCCTAGACCATCTCCCCCCCTCCCCATCAGAATCTCCTTTCACTCAGCTCCCTCTGAAATCCCAAACATGCAGCAAAGATGACCATGATGTGAAGGGATAATCATTCAAACTTTTAATCTCCCTTTACACATATTAACATTCATATTACAAGGCATTCCATTCACAAATATTAAAGTTTTTAAAAACTTCACACACATACCTCCAGAAAGTCTATACCAGATTCAGTCACTTTACTAAATCATTTAAACAATAAAAGTAATGAAAACATTATCATAATTCTCTTAAAGCAATAAGGTCTGAGGCACTCTGGGAAAGATGATCTCCTATAAGTGTAATGGGTCAAGTCATCGATACTCAGTAGTCAAGGAGACTCTAATGACAATGACTTTATGATCTGATATGTCTTAACGGATACACTTCTATTTGGACAACTGCTAGAAGGAACACAGGTGTCAGGCAGCTGAGGCATTTCTATGAGGTGCTTGCTCAACGGTGTGTGTAGGACGTGGGCTTCAGCATTACCAGGCACAGGTTCCTTTGCACCATCACCAGGTCTAATGCCCAGAACACCTAACTCACTGTGCTTTCCCATCATCCCACAGTGCACCCATCGCCCTTCTCTGTGCATCTTCAAGGCATACCCTTGAAAAAACAGGCGGCTTCCCGCCTATTTTTGACCAATGGAAGTTTGAAATCACTGTGTATTACAAAATCCTCATGCCCTACAACAGCCAACCACCACCTGGCGTGTGGTTACTTCTGCCCTCTAGATGTTAAGAAACCTGACAACCTCCTTCCAAAGTGAATGTTCGTCATTCATCACTGACAGAGTCCACGCTGGAGAGAGAGCCTCACTGAGTGAGGGCTTCCCGACACACAAGAACGAGGGTAAATAATTAGCATGGGGAGGAAGAAGCCAATTCCCAACTAGGAATTAAATCACTATAAAAACTACAGACCCATTAGGATATCAAATAACCCTGTCAGAGCAGAATCAACCCAAATCAAAGGTCACATAGTGTTCAGTAATTACATATATGGAGTTTAAAAGGTATGCATATGTTTTCTCACATATATAATAAAAAAAAAATCTGGTGCAATTTGTGTTGCTGTTTTCAAGGATTCTCATCTTCAACATTCACCTGGAAAGCAGCTGGCTCTGGATGGCCAGTTTGTGGCAGTGATAAAAGCAACTAGAAGCAGGTTTAAGTAAAAGTGCTCAAGGGGCAAACAAGAAAGTGGTGAGCAGGGCTGGGGGGGAGGACTGGGCTTGTGGGCACTGAAAGGAGTTGAGCAATATTTCCTTGATTCTTCTCAGCTTTTTCAGATCCAAGACAAACTCTTGAGGACACACACCAAATGCTGTAGTCCTTTCTGATTACTGTCAAAACAAGTGATTTAAAAACCAAAAAAAAAAAACTGCCTCTTCCTTTCTGTACTCTCAATAAAATGCACAGTACAGTAAGAAAGTGCCATCGTGGCAAATTAAAACTGGGACATGAAGTGAGGCCGCGCGCTGTCGAGCCTCCGGGTTAGGATTTCACAGCCAGTGTCCGTGACCAGCAGGGTGTGTTCAAACTGAGCAGACCGCTTCCCATCTCGCGTCACCGCAGTCCAACCATCAGGCCAGGTTTCATCCTGCCATCCACCTTAAATAAACAAAAGCATGTTCTTAGTTTGACCCTTCCATTTTCTCAATGAACTCCATAGGGAAGCACCTACCAAGAAGAAAACCAATTAGATAATTCACTCTTAACATTTCTACTGATACTTTTGTTTTTAGCTAAAGCCTTTCCAACTTCGGTCTTGTCTTTAGTACCAATGATGTAACGGTGATGTTTAAACTTAAGTGTGCCATAACACGTTTAATAAAAGTGAAACAAATCTAGATGTATGTCCAAAATAAAGGCAGTGAAAACAGATCACTACAAATCAGCACAAATGAGTAGGACGCTGACTTTGCTGGATACCAGTAACTCACATTGATAATCTTACCACAGAGACAGCTAAGTGACTTGACCGAGTTACTCTCTTTAGTTTATTTCTCTGTGTAACAGGGGTAACACCTTACCAGAAATGGTGGGAAAATAAGTCATTTATTTCTGTCTGCATCAAAATGCGTGGGTCAACATATGTTTTCCCTTTTTTTTGGTAGGCCATAGAACTTGGACTCAGGGCTTAGGCATTCTTCCTGAGCTGTTTTTCGCTCACGGCTAGTGTTCTACCACTTTTGAGCCACAGCTATACTTCTCATGTTTTGGTGGCTGATTAGATAAGAGTCTCAGACTTTCCTGTCTGCGCTGGCTTTGAACTTCGATCCTCAGGTCTCAGCTGCCTGAGGTAACTAGGATTACAATCCTGAGCCACCAGCTCGTGGCTCAATTGCTCTCCCTTTGTTCTCTTCTATCCCCTCCTACACTAAACAAGAACTTCTCCACAGGCCTGATGTAGGCTTTTAATTACAACCCCTCCTCCTCCCACAAGGACTTTATGAAGAGGGAGAGAAATGAAGCATTTGGTACCTACAAACAGCAAACTTAGCATCTTCTTGTCAACCCTGTGAATGCTCAGTTCTCTGCACAATACCCAAGCTGTCCCAATGGGATAAGGCATGCAATGAAGCGAAAGAAGCCAGTAGAGCAGAACCATGCTAACGATTAACCAAAGATTAATAAAATAATGACAGCGTTGCTTTTTATTCTCACCTTCACAAATCATTGGTTCAATTGTAAACACGTGGCCTGACTTCATCACTCCAACTGCTTTGTTTTCTGAAATAAAAGTTAAAAAAAAAAGATTGAAAACCAGCCCCACACCCTTGAACAGCTCAGAAGAAAGAGTACAGAAGTTAAGTGGCCTTACCATCAATCTGGGGACAGATACTGTTCTAGGCACATTTCATTTTGCTTATGTTTTTCTACATTAAAATGGAGGTCCACAGGCTAGATTTCAGATACCATCCTCCAAAAAAGGCCAAAAAAATTAAAAATAGGAATCGGCGTTTTGAGTCAATCTTAGACAAAACTGAAGAACTACTTTCAATTTCAAATTAAAGACCAAGAGCTGATGGATTAAGTTATCAGATAAATGGAGGTATTTGCTCAGTCCAACCACCAGATGGCAGCATTTCCAGGAGGTGGTGGCAGTCAGGACCTTGACTTAATGAATGGCCAATGTGTCTGGGGAGGCCTCCTCCCACGCAGCCACCATGCTGCTTTCCAGTGCCTGAGGTTATGCCAAAACATATTCACTGCAGATTCCAAACCCACCTTCTAAATTCACAAGCATCCTCCAGAGCAAGCACTAAGTAAAAGTAGACTGCTCATTTGTAATCTCATGCACTTGCTCTCATGATGACATGCAACTCATATACATGGAATCACTCATATTCCCTTGAGAATCAAAGAGAAAATTTTGGGTACTAAATTTTGAGTTAAATTTCACATACTGCGCTTTTTAATTTGGCTACTAGAAATTTAAATTATACCTCAATCTTGTACTTCTGTGAGACATTGCTGACATACAAAGTCTACATTCCAGAACATTCTATAACTGACTCATTAGTATTCTGGCAAAGTTACAACTCCTCTTCATCTCTCAGAATCTTAAAAGTTTCCATTTCCTGGGGCTGGGAAGGTGGCTCAGTGGTAGAGCGCTTGCCTTGCATGCTCCAGGCCCTGGGTTCGATTCCTCACCACCACATAAGCAAAAAGAAAAAAGCCGGAAGTGGCGCTGTGGCTCAAGTAGTAGAGCGCTAGCCTTGAGCTGAAGAGCTGAGGGACAGCGCCCAGGCCCAGAGTTCAGGCCCCACGACCGGACCCAAAAAAAAAAAAAAAAAGTTTCCATTTCCCAAAGTATCTCACTCAACAAATACACATTATCTGCAGAACTGTAATGCTGCAGAGTGTGCCTAAGACTTCATTAAATGTGGACCTACTCTATTATCTGTTATGTACACTGCAAATGTGATGACTATTATGATCATTACTTTCATCATCAATGATGTAAGTAAGCAGTAAATAAATTCATCTAATAATCTCCGGAAGGAAAGTTATTCAACAATATCCTGATTCCTCCTTCACTTGGGTAAATAGAATACAGAGTTACAAACCAAGGAAGTGATGCTGTAGCTCAAATGGTAGAGCACTCGCTTTGAGCTCAAGAGCTCAGGGACAGTGTTCAAACCCTATGACCAAAAAATTTTTGCTGCACAAACCAAAACAGATTCGATTTCAAAAAGTAATTCTGCAACACACACACACACACACACACACACACACACACACACACACACACACACAGCTTCCTTGAGTATTTCTGTAAGTAATTGTAATACATACAAATTTGTTTTACACTTGACCTTTCATAAACATTATCAAATGTATAAAATGAAGTATATCTGCCCTGTTTCTTGGTTGTTAGTGGGTTTTTTTTTTTTAGCATTTTTCTATATCTAATGATGAAACCCAATGGTAGCTCTTGTACATTAATGACATTAAATTCTGTGACATCACTGCACTACCCCCTCCCTTTTTCCCCACAAATGCTCCTGTGTCCAGTTTTGTTGCCATTGAATGTGAGGGTAATGGTTTTCATTCCCACCCCCTCCACATTTCTCTTATACCTGCGGCCACCACAGCCACCACCGCCACCATATTCAGAGCAGGTTCTTACTTTGTAAAAGGGAGTGTTCAGGTCATCAGAGCTTTAGAGACAGGAATGAAGTCAGCTACATGCTTTCCGACCTAGCTTTTTGTTGTGTGACTACAGAAACTTATTAAGATGGATGGCACCTTTAACCTTCCATCCCAGAGCATCTGTTCAGCTGGCTGCACACTCTAAAGCGTGACTCGCAGGATGGATGCAGTCTGCGAGTGAGCGCGTACTGATTCTCGCCAGCTGCTGTGCAGCACGAGACTGCTCAGCTTCTCCTGCAGGTTTCTCACCTGTGTCACTTTCTCTTCAAAGCTATGGACAGCCAGGATTTTACCACTTCATCCCTAGACTACTGCAACAACTGCCTAGCAGGCCAACTCTCCTGCACGGCTTCCATCTGCAATATATCCTAGACACCACTGCCCAAGTTAGTCTTCCCAGACTATCAGCTTCATTATGCTACTCTTCTGCCCTAAAACATTCCTGAAGATGCCCAGAAATGAAGTCAGACTTCCCTGCCTAGCCTTCCTCACAGCCAGCACTGCCCAGGCCAGGCATCAAAACAGACACTGAGCCAAGCCTAGCTAGCTTGTCTGTGGGTCTCTGCTGGATGCACCTACTCAGGCTTTCCTCCACCTAGAGTGCTTCTCATCTCCTCTAGCAAACCAAAGTTGAAGCCACACTTTTGTTATTTTCCAGGATGTAGTGCCCCACTACTGTAGTTCTTAGTGAAAAGCATGAAACACAGAACAGTGACCCCACAACTTAGGACCAACCCTAGCTCTGGCAAATAATTATTGACTGCATGACTTTGAACAAACAAACTGCCTGTTAGCAGAAGACCTGCTTTTACAACTGAGGCTGAGAGGAGCTGGAGATGTAGCTCAGTGGGAGAGCACTTGCCTAACATGCAGGTGGTCTTGGCATTGGTGCAGCACCAGAAAGCACAAAGAAACAGAGGGATGAGAAATTACTCAGAGTTGGGATTGGGGTTATGATGATCAAATGAGATAATGCCATCATCACTGTCATGATAAAAGTGAACATCAGGTCATGAGCTGTTGTCCTATAGAGTTCTAAGTCCTTCTCATGGATTCACCGTCCTCTTGGCAATTCTACTACAGGTGGCATTCCCCATGTACACAGGTGAAAAAACAAGGACAGGGAGAGCGTGAAGACTGACACATCACAGTGGCGCAGGCTGTGTATGTGAATGTGCACTTGCATGTGTGAAATTCCTTCCTACCTATGTGTTGATCCTGGGGCTTGGACTCGGGCCTAGGTGCTATCACTGAGCTTATTTGTTCAAGGCTATCACTCTACCTCTTGATCTACAGCTCCACTTGCAGCTTTTTTTGGTGGTTAATTAAAGGTAAAGAATCTCACAGATTTTCCTGCCTAGGCTGGCTTCAAACCAAGATCCTCAGATGTCAGCCTCCTGAGTAGCTAGGGTTACAAGTGTTAAGCCACCAGTGCCTGGCCTTTCACTTTTAACACTTAATGACACCACTCTTGCGCATGTCTAACCTCCAGAGAAATGGTTCCTGGAACACATTAATGGCCTTACACTTTTTCCCTTACTCTTCTATCATACATCTTTCAAGTTGAAGAACACAACTTTGGTTATTCCCCTCCATTTGTACCAATTAATAGTATATAGTTTATGACAGGAACTAAGAGCTCACAGCAAACCAAGCAAGATGAATTGATTTCACCTAAGGAATCAGAATAATGATGGCAAGACACATGTCAGACTGTCGTCATTTGCCAAAACTGGTTTACTTTTCTTCCAAAGATTGCAGCTGAATTTTATTTCCCAACCTCCCTTGTTGTGAGATACAATTATATGACCGAACTCTTGCCAATGGAAAACAAACATAAGCCAATTCCAAGCTGGTTCATTAACACTCCCAAGCACCCTTGCCAATCTTCTCCCCTCCTCCTGCGCTACATGTGAACTGCACGGACCACTCCCAAAGTGACCTGGAGAGCCACAGAGCTGGAGGCACAGTGACCAAACATACCTACTTTGGAGTGTTACTTAAGCCAGACCTAAACTTGACTTGTATTTGAGCGAATACATATTTTGGGAATCCTGTTAATATATTACTCTAATCAATGCAAACGAGAAGGCCCTTTTAGGTTTGAATAAAGTATTTGTTCAATAAGTAAAATAACCACATTTTTGGGAAGCACTTACTGGCATAGTGGGGAACGTTGGGGGCTGTATGAAAAAGCTTGTGGATCCCATGTCCACAATAGCTTCGAACAACTGAAAATCCATTTGCTTGGGCGTGCTTCTGAATAATGTTTCCTAATTCTCTGTATCGAACACCGGGCTTCACTGGAAGGAACAGAACAGATCCATGATAAAGAGGAACAGTTACTAAGCCAGAACTAGCTCTGTGCCTTTGTTAACATTCATATGCCTTCCTGCCTGAATTTCAAGATGAGGACACCGAAGCTGACCTGCATCAATGGCTTGCATCAGGCACTCATACGTGGTCTGAACTAGTTTCCGTGCTCCTTCATCAACATCGCCAACAAAAAACGTCTCATTCAGGTCCCCGTGATAACCGTTGCGATAAAGAGTGATGTCCACTGCAAAACAATGTGCAAATAGAAAGACCACAGTTGTTTTCACTTCAAAATAGACCTTAGTTTTTCCACCAGCACAGCATCAAGCCCTTAAGGAAACGCTAACTTCTGCATCCTCAAATGAGACACCAGTGAACAGATGGCTACTATCTACCAGAGGCTCCTTGCAGGCAGTGCAGGTAAACTCACTATGGAGAGAAGAAACACAGCCACACAGCAGCCCAAGAGAGATGGTGGCTTTTATACTCTTCAAGAACATCATTTGTGGCCAAAGAAAAATGCATATGGGATACAATCACACAAGATAGAGTTGGTAACATTAAATTGACAAGTTTGCTTCATTGTGACACTAAATGGAAAATAATATTTTCATTTATTATCTTTAACAAGTGTTTTCCTCCTGGGATACAAAAATTAACATACATTTCTTTTGTTAAAGCTCCTCTGCCTTTCATTTGTTTGTGAATACTCATCCTTCCCTATATACAAAAACACAGACTACTACATTAATACTACAGTACACTAAATATTCACCTAAAAAGCACATTAAATCAGCCGTTTATACCATGATTGTTGTAGTCAACCTCCAATACAGTAGCACAGCATACACATTCCTGAAAAGCCTCATACAATGTACATGTAATAAAAATAACAGGTATAGCCATGTCCCAGTAAGTCATACCTGTAGTCTTAGCTACTCAGGAAGCTGAGATTCAGAGGGACTGTGATTCAAGGCCAGTAGAGGCAGAAAAGTTCACAAGCTCCAGCTCCAAAGAATCAGGAAAATGCCAGGCTGCAGGCATGTCTCATGTGGTAGAGGACCAGCTGAGCAAGTGAGAGGCCTTTAGTTCAAACCCCAACACCACAAAAAAAAAGTTTGTATGAAAAAATAGGGTTGACCTCAAAAACCTATGGAACTCTATACAAACAGATATACTAACTAAAAGCAGTGGCAGCTTTAATAAAAATAATGCTACAGTTAAATTTCTTCTGTCATTCATACCCAGCACCACAATTGGTCCGTTTGGATTAGAATTAACTCAAGCTCAATTCCTCAGATTGCTTTAGGATCCTAAAAATACTAATTTCATTAATAGTAAAAAATGCCATTTAAAGCTGGGCACCAGTAGTTCAGTTCTGGAATCCTATCTATATAGGAGGCTAAAGATCTGAGGATGACAGTTCAAAGCCAGCCAGGGCAGAAAAGTCCAGACCACCACACTTATTTCCAGTAATCTATCCCCCAAAAAGCCACAAGTGGAGCTCCTGTTCAAATGGTAGAGCACTAGCCATGAGCAAGGCAAGATCAGGGACAGTGCCCAGGCCCTAAGTTCTAGCCCCAGTACTGGCACAAAAAGAAAAAAAAAAACAAAAAACCACCTAGTGGAGCTTCTTCATTGATACTGCTCTTCAGTCACAGGAAAAGGCCTTGAAGTTTCTAAGACAGTACAGCACAGAAGTCTGTAAAGCCATTTCACTCAAGGGCTTTTGAGCTCTTCAGGTCTTCATCTATTATGAAGGGTTTCTCTCTCTGGTAAGAAGCCTGTCTTGATGATTTCAAAACCATTACTGGCCACGAAAATAACTGCACTCTATTCAACAGTACTTTCACATCGTAATCTTATTTTTTATTTATTTACTAATTACATGAGATAGACCTTGAGGAAATAATGCTTGTTATACCTTAGAATCAACATGCACAGAACCATAAAAAAAAAAATTTTAAGGTTTCTCCAGATTTCACAGTGCTATCAAATTTGAGTGGAAGAAAATGTTAAGTTAATGAAGCAAGTCAGGAAAAGGGAAGTGACTAACAGCTCCCCAAACTTCGGCTGTTTCTTTGCTCAAGGTGACGAGGCTGCACTTACATATTTCTTACCATTAACGATATCACCTTCTTGCAAGGGCCGTCTGTCTGGAATTCCATGGCAGATGACTTCATTCACTGAGGTACAACAAGACTTTGGGAAATTATAATAATTCAGGGGAGAAGGATAGCAATTTCTTGCAATACATGCCTGGAATAAATTAAAACACAGAGAAAATATTTAGAATGTGCAAAAGGAAAATATCGATATACAATTCATTAGATTTTAACACTGAGAAAAGCCGAAAAGAACTTATTGACAGCATGTTTTCTCTTAAAATCCTAAGGGATATTTAGTATCTCTTATATATGTGGGACGGGGAGGAGGGAAGGCGAGAATTTTGTACTTTTGTTCTTCACTTGGAGACAGGGTTTTTCTCCCTTTATTATTCAGGTTTCCCTTGAATTCGTGAGCTCAAGTGAGGCTCCTGCCTCTTGTTTCCTCATCTGGCTGGAATATAACAGTATATAACAGGGTTTAAACCAGTCAGATGCAGTATCTGCTAGCCATTTAACTAATATTTATACAAAAGAAAAGCAAATTCGGCCTGGGAATGTGGCTTAGTGTCTAGCATGCATGAAACCCTGGGTTCGATTCTTCAGTACCACCTAAACACAAAAAGCCAGAAGTAGTGCTGTGGCTCAAGTGATAGAGAGCTAGCCTTGAGCACAGGAAGTTCAAGGACAGTACCCAGGCCCTGAGTTCAAGCCCCAGGACTGGCCAAAAACAAAAGAAAAAAGAAAATTCACGTTTTAAATATACACATTACTATATGAAGATTCTACTTTTTTGATGAGTTGATTTTTCTTTTCTTTTTGTTTCTTTGAAACAAGTTCTCATTCTGAAGATCAGGCTAAGCTAGAACTTATATTCTCCTACCTCAACTTCCTGAGCACTGGAATACAGGCAGTACTACTATACCCAGCTTGAAGAGTCTACTTTAGAATGAACCACACTCCTTAAATATATTAAGTAAAGAGATAACATTTAAAGTAAATACTAATAAGCATTTTTGATGTAATTATAATTTTTATGTAAAAACGAGCCTATATCCCTATAGGCAAAAACCTGAATAATTAGGAAATGACAAAGTACTTCCTGAGACATTTTTAATCACACTATTTGATGGAACAAAGAACCTCTTAAACAACATGATCAAGTTTCCAGAACAAGGCTAACTTATTTGATGTTTTCCCACAGGGCTAATCACAGCACACAGAATTTGTTTCCACACTGCCACAGTCCTCAGGCTAAAATTTTTCTAATGGTTGTATAAAAACTACCAGTGGAATACACTGTAATTTTACTAGCAATTCTACTATAATTAGAAAACATAATTAATTTGAAGTTTCCTCAATTATTTTAAAAAGTCATACAACCAAGAACCATCTCCATATTTAGGATATGCTTCTCTATACATCTCATAGCAGGGTCACAGCATCAAGTATTTAAAAACAAGCTGCGTTGACTACAACTGTGAGCTCTATCACACCTAGATTCTGTAACCTTGAGTGACAATTGAAATCTGAGCTACCATAAGATAAAAATGATACCAGCACCTATCTCAGAGTCTACTGGGGACCTCAAATGAGTAAACACAGAAGTAGCACTCAATGAGAAGCCTGGCCCATTGTAGGCACTCCAGAGTGCTCATTACGATCCCAACATTTTATATGAACATTGCATCAATATTAAGTCTTAGAGAATTCTGGATTAAAATGTCATATTTAGGGGCTGGGAAGGTGGCTCAGTGGTAGAGCTTGCCTTGCATGCATGGGAGCGTGGGTTCGATTCCTCAGTACCACATAAGCAGAAAAAGTCAGAAGTGGCGTTGTGGCTTAAGTGGTAGAGCCTTAAGCTGAAGAGTTGAGGGACAGTGCCCAGCCCCAGAGTTCAGGCCCCATGACCGACAAAAAAAAAATTCATTTTTACTCACATTTCCTGCATGGGGAACAGGAAATGTTACTCCCTTTTTATATTTCTCTCTACTTTATCCTGTTATACTAAATTAAATCCTTGCCAACATTTTTTACAAAGGGGAAAAAAAAGACATGACATCAAAATCATTCAGCAATGGTTTCTCCATTTACAATAATCTATCACCGAGCAAGAGAATACTTAAGAGCCAGTTTCATTCTCATACATAGCATCAGATAAAAACATCTTAAAAAAAACAAGGGGGAGTGGTCTGGGTGTAGTGACATATGCCTGTAATCTCAGCCCTTGGGAGGCAGAGACAGGAGGATCACAGGCCACCCAGAGCTACAAAGTAGGACTCACCTTTAAAAAGACATCCCTCTATCATATTTCACAAGTATGTATCTCATCTGTACACTGGCTTGGCTTGTGGATATGGAGCAAATACTGTCTCTTCAAGTCTAACTTAAAAAGTTATATTCTTTATTTCTGAATGTTTCCTGAATATTTGATATAGGGAGCAATAACTAATAAAATTAATCTTTTTATGAAACTGAAGTTCTGATGGTTCAGATTCATAGCAGCTCACCTCAGCCCCCACCTATGACATGAAGATGGCTCAGCACTGGCCACTGCACAGGTATCATCCATACTGCAAGGACTGCTGGAGGACTAGTTCCAAATATCAAAACGGTGTTTCCCAACAGCACACAGAATTTCTATGAGTTTCTTAGGATTTCTGGGATTATTTTTGGTTTTGTGACAACTTCTGTACGTACTCAAGTCTCATCAAAATTAGTGTGTTGTTTGCAAATTACCTCGGCACTTCTGCCCCTCACTTTTAAAATCATTTCTACATCATTTGTAATACTAAGAGTGTGCGTACGTACTCTATTGTTTACAGTAGTGGCAAGAAAGGCATTTTCAATATGTGGCTGGCTGACACCACAGAACGTCCAGAGGGAGAATGAACTTAAGAGATAGAAATAACTGCCCAATCCTTTCTATACTTTAAACAAAGCAAAAAGTCACTTTTGTTACCATAACCAATGTGCTTTAGACATTGAAAACTTGAAACATCTGACTTGAATTTTTTTTCCAAAGTAAAAAATAAAATTCTTACTAAGTGTACAGCATGATCGATTTCTTCAGTAGTGACACCTGGTTTAATCATGCCAGCAGCAATATCCAAAACTTCTCTAGCAAGCTGGAAAAGGGGAAAACAGTACACTCAAAGAAAGAGAAATAGAAATCTACCCTCTGTACCATCTTAGATTCTGTGGGAAATTGGTAAAGTTAATTTCCCCTTCAAAATGTTTTGCATCGAACATATTAATATATCACAAACATAACAAAATGTAAATGTATGAACATAAGCTTACATAAAAACTGGACCAAGCTCATTTACTAATAAGTAAGCTTGAATGATTTCCATATGAAAATGGACATGTTAAGTTATCTACACAATAGTGCAGATCTTCTCCCAATTCTATAATGGCAAAGGTTAGAGGGAAATAAAAGAATATATGAATGTTCTTCCTTATAAAAATCACAGTAAAGCGAAAGGGATATAAAGTTCTCCAGATTATAAACAAAAATTTAATATCAAATTGCTTTTAAAGCGAAAGGGATATAAAATTCTCCAGATTATAAACAAAAATTTAGAATCAAATCACTTTTAAAGTGTTGCATAAAAGCCACACAGATCACATCTGAGTGAAGAATATGGAATCAATTATTTTTCCTTCCAAAATTATAATACCAACCTGTATCACCATACTCAGACATTTCACAAGACTCTAAGCTTCAACTATGCCATAATATGATATCCATGAAAACAAAATGCCAAAATACTATAAAAACAGTTGTTTTAAAAAGAATCACAAGGGGAAAAAGAACTACCAATCAAATTCAAAACCTACTTGCCATATTAATTCCCAGAAGTCTATTTAAGAAGAAAACAGCAGTAAATGAAGTTATATACAGACAGTAGTTTATTGTATGGCCAGTCACAGTTTGACAATGTAATATTTGACAGATTTGTAAGTCAGCAAATCTAAGAACTGTTTGACCAGCTTCTACCCCAAGGAAAAAAGAACTCTTACCCTACATACAAGTCGCATCCCTTCTATATCTTCAGAGGAGAGTAATTTAATCTGAGAAGTACCTTTAAGAGCCTGTTCAGATTCAGACATTCCTGAAATGGAAAGTCAGTATGTAAAACCAAAACAAATGACAGACACAGAATTTATTAGCATAATAATATCCCTGGTCATCTCATACACTGCTAGATCTAGGTTAGTTATTTTGAAATTTATATTTTCAACATGTAAAGGAAATTTGCTAAACAAATTGAAGGGAGAATCTAAAGAACCAATTTTTGAATCTACCAGAAAGGAATCAGTATTTATGGATTACTTATTATATATACCAAGCAATGTGTTAAAGACTCAATTATGAACAGTACCACACAATTTACAATTGCTTCATCAAGTACCTATGTACTCATAAAGCAACTATATACCAACAACCAATCAATTTCACTACTTTTCTGAAACAGCAACCTAATCAATGTTTCTCAAACTCTAGTTTATGGCCTCTTACTGGGCTATAAGTAACATTTTAAAGTAGAAGTGGAATAGAAATGATTAGATTCTATAATACAAACCATGGTAAGATAAATGTTTTTAATTTATATGCACACAGTTCATGTTATAAAATCTATTCTTCACTCTGATCACAAAAAAGTTTGAAATATATAGTATCCTAATAACCTTCATTAATCTAACTCAAGCTTCTCATACATTTAAAAGAAATAAAGCTAATGTAGCAACTACTCCTCTAAATATATACACATAAAAAATCATCAACTAATCTCATTTATAAGCCCTGATGGAAAAAGTCCAAAAGTATGCTACTAAATAGAATTAAAAAACTACAACATCCCACAAACACCATAACTTCATGGAGATTCAAGCAGAAGGCAGGGAGAGCTCAAGATTGGTAAGTGAGTAATCATCTACAGAAGACAATCTACTAACTTAACACAATGAAAAGAAATCTTAAACCAGAAATCACCACCATAGAATGACTGCCATTGGCTCTGCTATACTGTCTCGCAATATGAATAGACTCAGTACACAAAAGAAAGAAATATAACACATATAATTTTAAATGGAAACAACAATTTCCTTATCAATTTCAGGTATGATTATCTGCTCCTTTAACAAGACAATCATCTGGAATTCAGAAAGCTAGCAGATAAATACAACATATTCAGCAATTTTTCCACAGTATAAAATAAGCTAAAAATTACTGAAGATACTATTCACAAAAACAGTAAAAAGGAAGTACCCCAAAAGAACTTAACAGTGAAAGATCTTCAGAAAGAAAATCTGAAAACATCACTGAGAGAAATAAGCCTTGTAGGGCACAGAAAAACAAAGTCTGTTCTTGGACAGAAAAAGTTAACACTGTTAGGGTATCAACGCCTACAAAATTTATCTATAGACTTAATATTATCCTAATAAAAATGCCAACAAGTTATTTTGGGAAACGAACACACACTGGCTATAATTTCATAGGGAAGAATAAACTCTCTATGGTAGCTAAGAAGGGAGAGTGATATGAACATAAGGTAAACATGTGTAGAAATGGAACATGAAAAGCTTGGGCACCAGTGGCTCACGCTTGTAATCCTAGCTACTCAGGAGACTGAGATCTGAGGATCACGGTTCAAAGCCAGCCCAGACAGGAAAGGCCATGAGACTCTTATCTCCAATAAACCACGAAGAAAACCAGAAGTGGTGCAGTGGCTCAAGTGGTAGAGCACTAGCCTTGAGCTGAAGAGCTGAGGGACAATGTTCAGACCCAGAGTTCAAGGCACAAGACCAAAAAAAAAAAAAAAAAGGTAGAACATGAAACCCCTCTCTATATAACTAATGTAAGCTAACAACATAAATAAGAATAGCCAGGAAAATTCTGGAGAAGAAGAAAGGCAGGGCCTTGAGCGTACTGGAGGTGAAAACACTCTAGCTGCAACAGAGTGCGACACTGAGAATAACGGGATTCCATGTCCTGAACAATCTTCAGACTGTCTTTTCTCTCCATCTATCTGCAACGGTGGCTGAACTGAATTTTAAAACTATGTATAGAAGAACTTGATTTGGTTCTAACATCTGAAAGAAAAGGAGGATGAGCAGGTTTGAGGCCATCCAGCCTAGGCTACAAGGTGAGACCCCCCCATATCTCAAAATGAAAAAAAAATTACAGCAATAATAATAAATGAAGCTACTGACATGCAACTATTTTAACATGAACAGTAATTTCAGACAGTAATAGGCTGGGGGCTGGGAAGGTGGCTCAGTGGTAGAGTGCTTGCCTTGCATGCCTGAGGCCCTGGGTTCAATTCCCCAGCACCACATAAGCAAAAAGAAAAAAGCTGGAAGTGGTGCTGTGGCTCAAGTGGTAGAGTGCTAGCCTTGAGCTGAAGAGTTCAGGGACAGCGCCCAGGCCCAGAGTTCAGGCCCCACAACCGGACCCAAAAAAAAAAGATAGTAATAGGCTGATTTACAAGGGACTAATGTACAAGTTACAGTCAGAGACCTTTCCACTGACCTATATTCCAAACTACCTTTCTTCATACCTAGCATTACCTATAATAGAGAAGACTACAGAACCCACTTCAAAAATGCTGAAATGTTAAATGGACTAACACATGCAAAGAACTTAGTTAAAACTGTGGTATCATCTCCCTCCTGCCACCCCACCTCTTATGTTACCACCCCATTACTACTGACTCCATCAATGCTACTGTCCAAGTCTGAGGTAGACTTGACCTCAGGACTCTGTTACCCACTTTTCCCTCATAAGGTGACAAAGAAAGGATAATATCAAAACTGTTTTTGTTGTCCTCCATCTAGAAGTGGCTAACACAAACTATAGTAGAGTTCTGAGTACAGTATTTGCTTAGCAATAACATAAGAATGTTTACAGAACTGGATTGATTTCTAAAGGCAGAGAAGTCTCTAATTCTCTTAAATGTTCTAATGTGCCTAAGCAAACAGCATGCCCATTTATTACTAGTCCAGCAGTGACAGCTTTCTACAAAAAAAGCACTCCTCTCCTGTGCAGCTGTCTTCAAGCCTACACAAAATGCAGGACTTACCTAAGGGGTGATCAGCATAATCTGGTCTCTGAATGTAACTTGGCACTGGCCTTGTTGGCATCTGAAAAATGCAGAGAGGCAAGTGAAAATCTATTTACCAGGAAAAAAGTTTATGAAACTGGGGGAAACATAATGAGCGAGCTTAAGCAAAGCTTTATATAGGAAAAGTGTTCATGGACAACTCAGATATCCTATGTCTATCACATTAAGCCAAAGTATTACTTTCCTAGTATTAATGCCACCCCTTCACATTTAAGATAGAAGAAGGGGGAAACAAGGGAGGAGGCAACAATGCTTGATAAGAAATATACTCATTATCTTGCCCATGTAATTGTATTTTCACAATTAAAAAAAAAAGAACTAAGTTAAGGCCATCACTGATTTAAGATTGTAACTAGCTGTAAACTGATGGTTCACACCTATAACCCTAGCTAATCAGGAGGCTGCTATCTGAGGACTGCTATTCAAAGCCAGACCAGGTCGGAAAGTCCAAGAGACTCTTATCTTAACCACCAGAGAACTTGAACTAGAGCTTTAGCTCAAAGTAGTAGAGCACTATCCTTAAGTGAAAGAGCTCAGGGACAATACTCAGGTCTTGAACTCAAGTCCCATGACTGATTTTAAAAAAAAAAATTGTATATAGCCCACAACATTCCTCTGTTGTTCCAAACAGGTACCCTGACAATAAAAAAATAAAAATATTGTACCAACATATAAATTCCCCAACATTTTCCTTATCTCTGGAAGGGAAGCTTAAAGGGAGTTACTCATATGTTTAAAAGATCTATACACTTATAAAAAAGAGAGGGCTGGGAAGGCAGCTCAGTGGTAGAGTTCTTGCCTTGCATGCATGAGGCCCTGGGTTCAATTCCTCAGCACCACATAAGCAGAAAAAGCCGGAAGTGGCGCTGTGGCTCAAGTGGTAGAGTGCTAGCCTTG